GCAAATCCTCATTGACTCCCATGTTAAAAATACCAATTTCACAGCAGAAATAAGCATGTTTACAGCCTGGTACCAAAACATGTTTTTGGTTTAAATGATCTAGTTTATACTCATGACAACTCTGAGGGGGGTGAATTTTTTTCTCACTCTTCTGTTTAAGTGTATTAAAAGCCTAAAATTCTGTATAATTAATGAGCATCAGACCCACGTGACCACAGAGCTAGCTCTGTGGAAAGGCCTCAGTAGAGCCTCGGTCAGGGCCTGGAAACTGTTCCGGCATTTTGAGTCTCTGTGTTTGTGTATTCTTTTTTGGATAATTTTTGTGCAATTGTTGGACAAAATGGCTTGCTGTGGCATTAATTGCACTAGTAGAGCGTCCAAGGAGTCTCCACTTCATTTTTTTGGTAAATAAAATTATATTTATTTTGGTCACTGCCGAGCTTAGCTTAGATTTTAGCATGTACTGTTTAACCATGAAATTTAAATTTAACAGGGTAAAACCCAGTGCATTTAACATAATGCTGCACTCTAGAAAATGTGTTGAAATATAACATGTTGGTGGAGCTGGGTTCCGACTATCGGCTTGTGGAGCTCTCGGGAGACCTCTGTTTTCCACCCGGCTCTCCCCTCCCCGCAGCTCGGTGCATCTATGTCTGATCGTGGCTTGTGTCTGCTGCGCAGGCTGCCGGCTTGTGGAGCTCTGGGATGGAAACCTTTCCACCCGGTTCTCCCCAGCGGCAGCTCTGCGCATCTCAGATCACAGCAGCGCTTGTCTGCTGTGCGGCTGCTGGCTTGTGGAGGTCTCGGAGACCTCCGTGTTCCACCCGGTTTTACCCAGCGGTCAGCCCGGCGTATCTCTGACTCTGGTGTTGTGCACAGTTTACTCCGGTTGTAGCTAGGTTGCTACCTCCGTTAGCTTAGCTCCCACCTCCGCGTTAGCTTTGGGTTAGCTTCAGGTTAGCTTGTAGCAAGTTCGACCGGGTGTCGTCAGTTGATCCCAGCCTTACAGCCCCACCCTCAACTCCACCTCTCTTTCCTTTTGTGGAATTGTCTGGGCTTGACGGAACCTGTGACACGGTCAAAATGGCGGTGGTAGCCACCTCCCATTTTGCCTCAAAAACTTGTTATTGGAACCTATGGAAATGAATCGGCCAGTATACTGTATATGTCGATGGATGCCGTCCAAAGATGACCTACCCCATCCCGTCCCAAACCCTGTGATGCAACCGAGGCTAAAGAGTCTACCTCATCTTGTTATGACTTCTCTTATTTGTAGATATGACTTCAAATCATAATGATCTGACATCAAACAAACAGAAGAATCAAACATTAACCTAAGAAAAGAGCTTACACTGGCAGGTTGCTGTTGTGCAACCTTAATTTAACAATAATAATGACTGGAAGAGTGCTCACATGGAACAGCTGGACCAGCTCTGCCTAATATTATTATAATAAATATTGTGTTTGACAAGTTTTTTGTGCTGCCAAATGTCTCATTTTAATTTGTGTTTTTATATTTTAATGGATATTTATGAATTGCAATAACTGAATTATCACTTTGTTGCACGTTTAACTAGCTCTATTGTGATGAATTAAACTAGAACCTCACTGTTAAAAGCTCATTTTAAATTCAAGCGTGTTTAAATATTTATGGGCATGAACAAAAACAGGAAATATATAAATTGAGATGTATTTAATTAATTTAACAGGTCCGCATAGCCGGTAGTAAGTTGGACCTGTTGCCAGTGAGGGTTGGACTCCGCCAGGGCTGCCCTTTGTCAACGGTTCTGTTCATTACCTTTATGGACAGAATTTCTGGGTTCAGCCGTGGTGTGGAGTGTGTCGAGTTTGGTGGCAGGAGAATCTCGTCTCTGCTTTTTGCGGATGATGTGGTCCTCCTAGCTTCATCCAGCTCTGACCTACAGCTCTTGCTGGGTAGGTTTGTGGCCGAGTGTGAAGCGGCTGGGATGAGGATCAGCATCTCCAAATCTGAGACCATGGTTCTCGACCAGAAAAGGGTGGCTTGCCAACTCCGGGTCAGGGGAGAGGCTCTACCTCAAGTGGAGGAGTTTAAGTATCTCGGGGTCTTGTTCACGAGTGAGGGTAGGAGGGATCGGGAGATCGACAGGCGGATTGGTTCGGCGTCTGCAGTGATGCGGACGCTGAGCTGATCTGTCGTGGTGAAGGGGGAGCTGAGCCAGAAAGCCAGCTTCTCGATTTACCGGTCGATCTACATCCCAATCCTCACCTATGGTCATGAGCTTTGGGTAATGACCGAAAGAACGAGATCGCGGATACAAGCGGCCGAAATGAGTTTCCTCCGTAGGGTGGCCGGGCTCAGCCTTAGAGATAGGGTGAGGAGCTTGGACATTTGGGAGGGACTCGGAGTAGAACCACTGCTCTTCCGGATCAAATTGAGTCAGTTGAGGTGGTTTGGGCATCTGGCCAGGAAGCCTCCTGGATGCCTCCCCGGGGAGGTGTTTCGGGCATGTCCTGCCGGCAGGAGGCCCCCGGGTCGACCCAGGACACGTTGGAGAGGTTACATCTCCAATCTGGTCCGGGAACGCCTTGGGGTCCTGCCGGAGGAGCTGGTGGAGGTGGCTGGGGAGAGGACGGTCTGGAGCTCCTTAGTTGGGATGCTGCCCCCACTACCCAGACCCGGATAAGCGGAGGAAGACGACGAATAAAACAAATAACTGTTTAGAGGAGCAAGGAATCATTCAAAGGCACATTCTTCTGGGAGCTCCTGATCCTGACGACACCAGTTGAGGATAAAGAGAACGGCTGGTTTCAATAAATAATGAAATCGGGGCAGTTTTAGTGGGATGTTTGTGATTGTGTAACATAATATTGACAGAATATTGTTCTCATGGGGTATTTTTATAACTTTCTCTGCGGCAGACAGTAACTTTAGCCCAGGGTAGGTGGCCGTGTCCTAGAGAGCTGCTATCGACACGTTTCAGTGGTTTTCCTGCTTTAACAGGTTAGATTAGCTGTTCAGCAGCTCAGCTATTTGCTGCTGATTAAAATCAGGTGTGTTGAAGCAGATAAACCTCTAAAACATTATTGATAATAGCTCTCTAGGGCCGTGGGGCCGAACCCTGCAGCTAATCTAATGCTGTGGCTAACGGCTTCTTACCATTCAGAGCTGGTTCTGTTGGGTCAGCTCCGGTGGTTTCAGGCAACTCACAAGCTCAAAACAATAAGGCTCAGGTCCGCTTGTCTCCTCCAAATAGACTTGGTCCCGTTCTTCTTGAGTGTCTGGGTAAGGAGGGGGAGAAAAGTCCTCCACTTTTAATGACTGCTCAGAGTGAAAAAAGCTAGCTTCACCTCGTTACCCATCGTCTTTGTCACTGCCGCGGCTCGGCCCTCTCGGTCCGCCAGGCAATGCCTACTAAAGTTGCAGTTTTCAAAATGGATATGTGGGTGGAACAGGACTCTGAGGCAGGCTTGACCCACCCTTTAACATTCTTGCTAGTAGAAAGCGCATTGAATTGCCTCTGTGTTTGGAATGAAATAAATAAAGCTGCCTTGCCTTGCCCTACTAGTTCTAGTGGGGAGAAACTAGGTGAGCAAACAGGAAGTGTCAGGATCTGCTCTTGTAGCCTTCTGTGTATCTGGTGTCTCGGCTCCCTTGTTAGTGTTGATTGAACTCACCTGGCCCTCCACCATCCCCAGCTGTATCCCGAGATTATCCTCATGTATTTAAACTAGGGGTGGGCCGTTATCGGCGTTAACGCGCTGCGGCAAAGCCAGACTCTTATCGCACGATAAAAAAAATGACGCCGTTAATCTATTCTCAAAGTTGGGTTGGGGTCTGGGTCTATACTAAGTAAGCTATGATGGCTTTCACACATGCTTTCACATTGCGCGGATGGATACCTGGTTGGCGCGGATGTATACTCGGCGCGGATCATCGTACGTATGGATGGACGCCAGGCTCGCGGAGTTTGATGTTCCCCATGCAGCCGAACAGTCGCACCTTCGCCACCAGCAGCACTTCTCCCTTCTCATCGCGCGGGACAAGTAAATAATTTATGTACTTTCACCAGAGTTTAATCCATAAATCCGACTTTCATTCTTTTTATTTTGTTTTGTTTACCTCCGACATTTCCAGCCGGGCTTTCCCCGGGCCACACTTCACCGTCCGCGGTCGAAGCAGCGCTCGGATGTGAGAAAACCGAGACAAGACTTTCTCAGACAGGTGCGGTTTCCAACTAAGTTTAGCTTTTTTAGCAGCTGTTTATTATGATAAAGTGATAAATTGTTTCTACAGGTCATTGTTCGTGTGGCTTCGACTCAAATTCACCTGTAATAATAAACGTTTTACTCATAAATTTTTATATTTGTTTAGAAAAGTTGAGCTAGGATAACTCCCCTTGCCGTTTTCAGAGACAACAACAGCAACAGTTGGCTTCTGCTCATACAGGTGAGCTGTGGCATCATTTCCAGCTCGCTCCTATTCACCAGAGGCAATCCTACATGCAAACTAAAGGGGGGCATTGGAAGGGCACCCCAGAAATTTAAACCCCTCCCCAGGCCAGATAGTTTCTGTGTGTGTATGTATGTATGTCTGTATGCATGTATGTGTGTCTGTATGCGTGTGTGTGTGTGTGTGTGTGTGTGTGTGTGTGTGTGTGTGTGTGTGTGTGTGTGTGTGTGTGTGTGTGTGTGTATATATATACTTTTTTCTTTAGCAGGCCATATTGTGCAGAAGAGAAGATCTAGTTTGTCACCAGACAATGTGAACAAGCTGGTCTGCTTGAGTGACTGGCGGAAGAAGGAGAAATAGAGCTTGGACTGATTGACCAAATGCTACTGACTGTAAATAGTTAATCATGACCTATTCTGTAGACCAACAGTGCAGAATTTGTTGAACTGAATAAACAGCTATTAAACACAAATACTTATTGATCATTATTTATTTTCATCATCAGTTATCGTAGTAAAACTGCTTTATCAGTCTGTGATGCATTACTGAAACAAGAAATACGCCTCCATTCTCAAAGACTTGCTTTTATTCATTATCTAGGTAGCACACACATATGCCTTTGGCAGAATTTGAATGAGCCATTTTAATCTAGATTAATCTAGATTAATTCCAAGATTACAGTGAGATTAATCTAGATTAAAAAAATTAATCTATGCCCACCACTAATTTAAACCCTTTGTTTGTGCTGGTCTGGGTCAGATCCTTGCCTTGTCTTCCCATCATGTCATCCTACCTGCCATCCTTGAGAATGATAAGGCTATTTTAAAGTTTAAAAAGTCCTGGGATAGTGACAAGTAAATTTTTAAAGTACTGCTACAATGTACAGGTGAATACCTGCACACCTACAGCGCTGAAGTTTGTCTGGCTTTGATTTATAATTTTCATAGGATCCAGTTGTTTGATGCAGGTGAGTTTTGTCCAGTTAGTTGTATTTTTGGGAGCTGTCATGCTGCTAAATATAGAGGTGTGTGTGGGGGTGGTTGTAAAGTCACATTCATGTACATCAGATTTTGTGTTTTCTTACCGCAGCGATTAACTCTGTTTACCTTAAATTTTTTCTGTAAAACTACATTGTGTGTGTTTAGGTTTTATACTCATCAGGTTCATAAAAGCCTCATGGCCAATTAGACAAGCTACAAATGGTTTGAATGAATTTTGTGGGATTGAAATTTTTTTAAGATCACTGAAATAAAAATGTGACGTGGAGTTTGACCAACAATGTAGCCCAGCGTTTCCCAACCCTGGTCCTCAAGGCACACTGTCCAACGTGTTATCTATGTTGCCCTTTTAAACACCAGTGTTTCCCTACTGCCATGCACCTGACTTAAATGAATGAATCATTCACAAGCATCTGCAGCACTTGATGACCGCCTGAAGAGGCAATGTAAATCAGGTGTGCTGAAGCAAACACATGGAAAACATGCAGGCCAGTGTGCCCTGAGGACCAGGGTTGGGAAACACTGATGTAGACAATATGCTTGTTAGTCCTATTAGAAAATAATCATCTAAAATGAGCACATAATGTAAAGAAATTTGCATTCATAGTTGATTAATGAATTTTACGAAAACCTTTACTTGAGACATGCTCATGACAGGTGTGAAATGTGTAGTGTGACATTACACAAGTTTAAAAATTTAGGACTTCAAAGCACAACAGCAGTTCCTTTTACAATTTGGCAAGTTTAACATTTTTGACTGTGGGAAAACCCCTTTCTCTGGATTGGGGTCCTGTCCGGGATGCATTCAGAATGGGCTCTAGCTGTCCATGACCATAAAGAGATCAAAAGGATGATAAAAAAGAAACACACGCAATCACGCAACATATAAACCGATTCGATGAGCGATTTGTCACCATCTTGTGGCACCTTCATCGCTGCAGTGAAACTCGTCAATGATATATTCATTCATTCTGCTGTCATTGTAAACCAACACCTTGTGACAGCATGATGAATACCTAGACTGATTATGCTAAACAGTGGCCTCCAGTAACTAATAAACATTAACATTAATGAATTAATCGTTTGAGCTATAAACAGGAAAGATTAAAAGGGAGATAACAGACTATGGTTAAACAATGTGCATATATCGTACGTGTGCAGAAGTTAGCAAGCTACCAGTGACATTTATTCATTATGAACAGTAGGCTTTGCCTTTGTTTTTACAAGAGTGATTTATTTATTTGCCTGTGAGTAATTTAATAATGACTTGTGCAAGTGCACAGATGTTTTAAACGTCACGCACAGTGAAGATTGCAGAGATGAAATAATCCATCAAGAAAAAAAACCCATCAAAGCATCTGAGCATTTTCTCACACTGAAGAAGTGCTCGAAGCACGTCTTTGACAGAGCAGTCCATGAGAGAGCGATGTAGCACTTCCAGATCTGGAAAGTGGAACCCCTTTTATGCCAAAATCTGTTTATTTCATTTGATTTCAAAAGTTTTACTGAAGCAGCGCTGGTCCACCACCTGGTTCGAATCTAGTCACCAGTGCAGGAGCTGAGCGTGGATTCAGCCTAGAACATAATAAAAACAATCATGACAAACTCTAGAACCTCTTGACTATAACCTGTTCACAATCTTCTTAGACATCTGATTAGGGACGAACTAGCAGGTGACCAGTTCAGGTTTATATGGATCAGCAGGAATGTATGTTCGGGTGCAGCAGGTGTCTGGGATGTCTCAGTTTGCCTTTGAAGGAACTGTCCATGGTCTCCACAGTAGAATGCAGTGGATGGTAGGGATTTTCAAGATGGTGGTCATCTTCCTCAGCATCCTCCTTTCACACACCTCCTCAACTGTATCCAGTGGGCAGCTCAGAACCAAGTTAGCTTTGAGAACTAGCTTGTTTAGTCTCTTACTGTCTTGGTCAGAGCTGTCAGCACCCCAACAGACCGCAGCAGAGTGGATAACAGAGCCAACAACAGAGTGACTAAAGGATTTTAAAAGCTGAGAATTAACTTCAATTCAATTTTATTTATATAGCGCCAAATCACGACAAGAGTCGTCTCAAGGAACTTCACACAATAAACATTCCAATTAAGGTCAGTTCATTAAGCCAATCAGTAAAAAGTTTCCTATATAAGGAACCCAGCAGGTTGCATCAAGTCACTGACTTTACAGCAATCCTCATTAAGCAAGCATGCAGCGACAGTGGAGAGGAAAACTCCCTTTTAACAGGAAGAAACCTCCAGAGGATCCTGGCTCAGCCATCCACCACGACTCACTGGGGATGGAGAAAACAGAGCAGACACACACATACACACACACACACACACACACACACACACACACACACACACACACACACACACACACACCAAGTAGTGTTTCTATGGCTACATTGTGATTTCTTAGTAAATATTGTATTTGGTGAAAGATAAACTTTATTGTATTTATCCTAGTGGATCTATAATTAAACGGATAAACTAGTAGTAGCACATTCAACATCAAAGAAAGTAAAATGTTATTATAAGGAGAGGGAGAATGTTTAAGAGGTTAGCAGAGGTGTGCTAGACGATGGCCCCCTCCATGAGGCCACCACAGCTCAGCAGAACATCATTGTAGCTTCTTCTGGGGAGAAAAACACTTAGAGAAAAAATGAAGTTAACAGCTGAAATTGCAGAAAATAATACAGTTAAAGAGCAGATTGTAGAAGAAAGTAGTAGTGTGAAAAGTGGTCAGTGTATCCTCCAGCAGTCTAAGCCTATAGCAGCATAACTACAGAGATAACTCTGGATAACCTAGCCTTTTTAGATGGAGGCATGTTGGAGGCAGGGCAAGGGAGAGCCGTCTTTACCGACTGTACACTCCACCTCCCTCTACTCCCCCACTTGTCCAGATTTAGGCTAACATCAGATTTTAACCATAGACCCAATCAAATAAAAATGTTTTAAGCCAATTCTTAAAAGTAGACAAAGTGTCTGCCTCACAGACTAAAGCTGGGAGCTGGTTCCACAGGAGAGGAGCCTGATAACTAAAAGATCTGCCTCCCATCCTATTTTTAGATATTCTGGGAACCACCAGTAAACCTGCAGTCTGGGAGCGAAGAGCTCGGTTAGGAACATATGGAACAATCAGATCTCTGATGTATGATGGAGCTTGATTATTAAGAACTTTGTATGTGAGAAGAAGGATCTTAAAATCTATTCTGAATTTAACAGGTAGCCAATGTAGGGAAGCTAAGACAGGAGAGATATGATCTCTCTTTTTAATTCTCATCAGAACTCTAGCTGCAGCATTTTGCAGCTCCAAAGGACCTCAGCCTCCTAAGGAGGTACAGACAGCTTTGGCCCTTCAAGGAACTTATTAGAAAAACATACAAACGACACACACAAAGAAAAAAGAAAACATTTACAGTCTTTTACTTTTTTAATGTGTTGGAGGTAACACAGCACCAAAAGACAGAAATTAAGTTTAAACTAGGGCCAGAAAAGAACACATTAAACTCTGGTAACGTCTTCTAAAACAGATCATTTGTTCCCAAATGCTAAATCAGCAACAAACCATTTTAGTTTGGCTAGACTCAAACTACCCGTTAGCTCATCAGTCCTGCAGGGCATCCAAAGGTGACATTTTAACACAGAAACAAAATGTAAGTGGGCCAAAATAAGAGCAGGTTCGGATTTTAACCCTGTTGTGGTGTGTGTGTGTGTGTGTGTGTGTGTGTGTGTGTGTGTGTGTGTGTGTGTGTGTGTGTGTGTGTGTGTGTGTGTGTGTGTGTGTGTGTGTGTGTGTGTGTGTGTGCGTGCGTGTGTGTGTGTAAACAGGCCACAGAACAAAAGTAGAAACACAGTACATTTCACCAGACCATACAAATGTAATAGATTACAGTACTTTATTTACACATTTTCTGATGTCTTACAATAGAGAAACTTCTAAGTTAAAACAAAAATAAACAAATTTATTAGTAATTAATTATTCTAAATGAGTTTTTTTGGCAAGTGCTAGAATCTTTATCTCAGCGTGTTAAATAAGATGCATGGATCATTGTAAAATGCTGATGGAAAAGTGTTAAAAGCACCATATTAGTGGTTTTAAACTTGTAAGATCAGAACAGACCGTCCTGCAGATGTACAGAAATGTTGCAGTGGTATTTTATAACCAGAGAAAACAGCTAAGAATCAGTCACATTGGTGTTTGTGCAAGCGCCTACCATTATGTGAGGTTATTTTTGTTATCATCATGAGGTGGAGAGGTCTGATGTTGAATCACAGTACACTGACATGTTTATGAAAGGGGCTTTTTGTGATGAAAAAATCTAACAAAAACACTCCGACAGCTCTAAAACATTTTCAAACACCAATGTGCTCATTTAGAAGCTTTCAGCAGCCAATGCCCTTTTGGAAAACTCAGCATGCCACACTGCCCTCTGGTGGTGAGGAGAACTGTTCTCTTTCAACAGCTGTAAGACATGAGTTCGTCCTGCTCAGCGGATCCATCCACATCCCAGAGGCGGAACAATCCCGGGGCTTTCTGCTAAGCGAGACATGGCGCTCCTCTCTGCCTTTTGCTGTCCAGGACGGCCCGCCAGTCGTCCATCCAGGACAGGAGACGTCTCTGGGAGGAGCTTATGGACAAATGCTTGTTGTGGCAGGCGGTGAACAGGATGTGTTCCCAGTCTGGTTTGGGCACCACACCTGATCAGGACATGTAAAGGTTATGAAACTATGGCAGACACATACTAAACTGTGGGAAACACGGGAGGTAAAGTTTGACTTGGTAACCACAGCAGAATAGGATCGTACATGTAATCTGATCTACTGTATCCAGGTAAAAGTTAACATGGTAAATGGTAAAATGGTAAATGGCCTGTATTTGATATAGCGCCTTCTAGAGTCCTGGAACCCCCCAAGGCGCTTTACAACACAATCAGTCATTCACCCATTCACACACACATTCACACACTGGTGGGGATGAGTAGCCACAGCTGCCCTGGGGCGCACTGACAGAGGCGAGGCTGCCGAGCACTGGCGCCACCTGTCCCTCCGACCACCACCAGCAGGCAACGTGGGTTAAGCGTCTTGCCCAAGGACACAACGACAGCGACAGACTGAGCGGGGCTCGAACCTGCAACCTTCCGATTACGGGGCGAGTGCTTAACTCCTGTGCCACCGTCGCCCCCACATCATTGGACGCACTCAGACTAGCTGTTAGCTCATCAGACTAAAAATGCTATTTCGCCAAACATCACAATAATGCATATAATTTATTGATGCAGATCTGCGCATCACCCTGTAGATTTCCAATAAAGAAATTTAAGATTTTCTTTCATTAACTCGTTCACTGCCACTGACGACTTAAAGTCGCCATTTGCATTTTTATTTTTTTATTGTGTGGGCGTCGGACGAGCCCCCGCACCGTGAGAACAAACATCTCAGCTCTAATGCCGATCTTCATCCACATACGTCACACGTCACGTGATCAGGAAGCAGAACATCCATGTGTTAGGAGAGCATTTTGGGCCGCTGCTGTAAAAAAAAGTGAGGAGCGAACCGGAAAAGCCTCTGCTGATCACAATTCAACAACGGATTATGAAAGAACGGATAACACTCGAAACGCGCAGATTCTTCCTGATGTAAGAGGTGAGCCTCCTCTTTGTTTTGGTTGTTTTGGTTGTTTTGGCGTTGACATCATCCTAGCCCGCAACGTTCAGTGACTCTTAAAAAACAGTAAAAACGGCGGGAAACGCTAGCAGCGAAGGGCTTTACCGATCAGGAAACGGCTGGCAGCGAATGAGTTAACAGAACGTGAAGTGAAGTTGGCTTCCAACCCACATCAGAAATCCACGCAAATTGAGTGGTTAGTGCTTTCTGATGTGGTTGGGAGCCAGCTTCACCCTACTTCTGAGGCTGGTCTGTGAGCAGAGGACACAGACAGCAGCAGCGCTGTTGCTTCTAACTTTTGTGAGACAGGCACAAATGTGCATTTTGAGCATAGTTTTCGTCTAGTCTCGGCTCGTTAACGAAAACTCCCGTTCATCTTGTCACGTTTTAGTCACCAAAGAGCTCGTTGGCGTCTCTTTCTCGTTATGAAAAAAGAGGGGCATCAACAAAATCAATTGGTCCTCGTTTTCGTTAACAAAAACCAACACTGGCTGGGACATTTTCTAAATTTGAGCTCTTTTAAGGTGGCAACATTATGATTTGGTATTGGACGCACTCAGACTAGCTGTTAGCTCATCAGACTAAAAATGCTATTTCTCCAAACAGAGGCCATTCAGGAAGCTACTTATTAACAGGTAAGCGATTTATTAGTGATCATTTTTACACACATTTATTTCAGAATGTTCAAAAATCCCTTTAATGCAGAACACTTAGTCTTTTACAACAGCTGCTCAGAGAACTTTGACCAGCTGACCTCTATGGACTTGGTTGGGTTGATAAAATGATCAAGTGAGTGGACACTTTACCGTCACACGTTGTCATGTCTGTAGTAAATTGTGAGGAAAACTAAGCCGTCATAATTATGCAGTAAAATTGAAGCCAACACAGAAGTGGCTAAAATTGCAGTTCCGCCCTCATCCACTAGGGGCTGGCAACAGAAGTGAGCAATTCCTCATTGACTCCCATGTTAAAAATGCCCATTTCACAGCCGAAATAAACATGTTTACAGCCATTTTAGGTTTAATAGATCCAGTTTACATTAACAACAACTCTGAGGGGGGTGACATTTTTTGTGACTCTTCTGTTTAAATTGAATGAAATGCTAAAATTTCTGAATAATTAATAGGCATCAGAGCCACGTGACTTCAGAGCTAGCTCCGGGGAAAGGCCTCGGCCTCATGTTAATAGATGTTCGGCCATTTCGACTCTCTGAACTTTAGTTTTTTCTGTGTGTTCGAGTTTGGATGTTAATCATGGAACTAGTTGGACAAAAGCTAGAGCAGGCGGCTGGCTGTTCCCGTTTCCCGGGGCAGCCGGGCCAGCTCCGACGCGAGGCGGTAGTCATGCTGGTCACTTGAGGATCTCTGAGGGAGATCGCAGAAACACCACAGCTCTTTCTGTTGACGTTGCTTCACTTTTGAGTCGCTCAGCTGCCTTTTTCTCATGAATAGTTTGCTGGTTGAATGGGGAAAATTATATATATATATATATGTATATATATGTACGTGTGTGTGTGTGTGTGTGTGTGTGTGTGTGTGTGTGTGTGTGTGTGTGTGTGTGTGTGTGTGTGTGTGTATGTGGAAAATGCAGTAAACCCAACTTGAGATGAGCAGCTAAATTGGTCCAAACCATTAGTGCCCCACCGCCGTGCTGACAGCTGGTGTTTGATATGGTTTTCTGCAGTTTGTCCACTTTGGTTTTATGTGTCAAAACTATGATTCTGGAATTCCTGCAGTTTCTTCAGATGGAACTTTGAGATCCGAGGCAGTGCTGAAGCTCCTTCACTTTGTCTAATAAAAGTGCTTTTCCTTCTAACAAACTAATTAGTATCCATCTAATTGGTCCGTCAACAGGGTGCATACTGATTATTTTCATCTTGTAAGATACACATGCTTTGATAATTTATTTGAAGAAAAATATAAATGTAGAATAAATGCAGCCACAGTCCAAAACCACTGTTTAAAGTGACAGTGTGTATTTTTCCTGGCCACAGGGGGCAGTAGATACCTAAATCGTTGTAAGCAAGCAGTATTTTTGTGTTGGAGTAAGACCTTACTAACGGATACCCATTAGGGTCAAAAAGCCCTGGACAGTGCAAACTTTAGCAAAATGACAAGCACATCAGACTCCCTTTCATCACTGGCAACAAGTGAAGAGGTAAATGTGTAAAACAACAACATTCAAGAATAGTGAACATTTTGTAACCGTTTGTTACAAACCAGTAAATGGGTTTTGTCCTCATTGGCTCTTGTAGAAGGAAACATGGCGTCTAATATGGCGTCGCCCAGAGACTTGGACCCACTCCCATGTATTTTAGACCTGATTTTTATGGTTATATGTTACAAAGCTGACAATATTTTTCACCAACTGAGCATCATTTCATTCATTTTCAACCACATTTTGATGGATACTTCCAGAAATGAATGGTAAAATTTACACATCGTCTCTTTAAGTCCGCACAAGAAGAAAGAAGCCAAAAGCGAGCAATCTGGGACATGTGTCAACGTAAAGCTAAAGCTGCTCCGATATACAATCAAACATGTCTGTTTTAGTGACTCAGTAGTTTGTGTGCATCCACAACAAAGCCCACCTTGGATGTCAGGCTTGTCGTCTATGAGGATGTCACCGGCGATTAACGTTTTATCTCTGGTCAGAATGACCTGCTCCAAAAAGTCATGGCCCAAATGCTTCTCCACCCAAGCATACTGGAAAATACACACACACACACACACACACACACACACACACACACACACACACACAATTAGGAAAAATTAAACGCGTTAGCGATTTCCAAGGGAGGCAATCTCATGTTATTGAGCGACGCCTGGCTTACCTTCTCATACGGGCAGTGTTTGTAATGCTTAATAGGGCTGGTGCAAATAAAGACATCTGTGCTGCGGGAAACAAGGAAAACAACAAGAGCTTGAGTGGAAAAAATAAACACATGTTCTGCTTGAGTAACACCCACACTCAGTAACTGGAAACAATAGCGTGTTGGAAAACAAAAGATAAGGGTATCCCCGATTAAAATTACATAAAAAACTCAAGAGTTTCCTCACTTGGACTGAGGTAACTCAGAGTTACCAAACAGATCAGAAGTGCCTGATCGGTTCTTTCTGGGAGCGATCCAGCTGATCTGGACCCAACTAACTCGATCTGAGTGGAGCTAATCAGAAGTATTTCATGACTTGACAAGGGGGTGATTACATTTTCGCTTAGAGCCAGGCTGGTTAGGCAACATAAATCAGCTGAAAACTGTGAGGAGGATAATTATTTCTCACAGTACTGGAGAATAGAAATAACAGATTAATGCATTCATATGTCCTAGACATCACGTGCCTATCAGTGTTTGTGTTTAGCAGCGGTTTCTGCTGCCCTCTAGCGGCCAGATATCGACAAGTTGTTTTTATTTAATCCAATAAATGCCCATCGGTTATTAGTGCACTACGTGTGCAGCAGTGACTTTAGATTCATCCTTCTGCTACTCAGTGCAGCTTTAATGCTGCCTCCACACCTCCTGTTCCCACTGACCTGAGCCTTCCACTTGAACTCCATCAATCCAAGCGAACAGATACTAGTCACTTTAATACTTTTGCACTAAAACCTTGTGAACATTTTGCAAAACCTAAAAAAAAATCCTAATTTTTTGGAAAAAATAAATAAAACTCTAAATACAGCTTTTGGTCAAAATGCCACAAACTTAAATTACGCAGTTATGATTCATGCAGCTTGCGTCATTAAATCAGCTCCCCTCACTCATTCTGGAGAGTCGCGCCGCTGTGTACCACGTTTCTGCTACGTCAGCAGCTAAATTTGTTATCATGCATCCAATACATCCTGGAGACTTACTCATCCATCTTGGCCATTTCTTTGACCGCCTCCACTCCTCCAGGCAGAGGCTCCAGGTCCATGAAGAAGCCTTTGGACTCCCAGATACTGATCGCTTTCTCCTGAAGTCAAAACACACACACACACACACACACACACACACACACAGACACACACACACACACACACACACACACACTCAGCCTGCAGTCAACAGCACACGTGAGGCTGTACAAGGGTCATTTACACTATCAACAAACTGTGATCATACTTTAAGGCTCGGCTAACAGAGCTTTCTCCTTTTTAAAGATGGCCGAATCATCCAGGATTTCCCGATGTTCATCCTAGTTTATGTTTAGCTGTTTGTTTTTCAGGAACGTTAAATTCAGACGAATGTTTTTGGTTCGTTGGCCCACCTCACGCTGGCCTGAGAGTTTCACACATAAAAACGCTGTTACCGCAGGAGCAACTGTTGTTGTGTTTTTGTGCCTCTACAACGGAAAACTGGGCACAGAAGTAGATTTCAAAGAATATTTGGGCCATTTTTGGATTTTTTTGGGGGGGGTAAAAATAATAATTACTCTGTATAAGGTCTCAGCTCGATGCTTTATGGGTATTTGGGCATTGTGCGAATAAACTAGAGTAGAAAAAGAGCAATATTTATTGTGAGACGTTGTTAAAAGATGAGATTCTGAATGAAGAGAGGCTCAGGGATCACGACTGGAAACAAACGTGGTTCTAAATGATGTGATGTCAAACGCTCCTGCTTTGTTTTCATCAACAAGTCCACTTACCCAGAATGCAGTGCCGTCCTAACCCTGCAGCCCCCGTTGACACCAAGACCGTCCCTCAGTGCACAAACACTGGCCTTGGCTGCATTTGGACCATGTTGTTAGAAATAAAAGCTGTTTCCCCCCCCACTGAGGCTGTTCAGGAAGCTGTCAACAGACTGAGCTCAAAATCTGGCTGATGTTGCAAATCGGCCAAAGTTCTAAAAATCTGCCAGAATTGGTGTACAAGTACATCAAAGCCCAGTATCAGCGTAAGATGATAACTATTTATAACTGCTGCACAGAAGCATGCTTCAACATTGTTCAAATCTCCTTTTAAATGTGATTTTGATTACTTTTATTATTTGTGGCCTTTTACAGAAACAGCTGCTTTGCCTACTGCACAAACAGCTGTTGTGTTACTTTAACACAGGCTTTCAAAAACAAGCAATGGTAAATAATAATAATAAAATACAGAACTGAAGTGTTTTACGACTTTTACAGAGTGAGCATGGGTTAGTCTAACTTAAGCCTGACTTTCTCTAGCCTGTGATAGCCAGTTTGACTTGAGCAGATCCTACATCTGAACTCACCTGTGATCTCACAGGTAACTTCCTGCCTCCTCACGCACTAACCTATTCTGGAACCGATCAGAGGAGACTGAGTGAAGGTTCCTCTCTGATCTTGTCCTAGACATCGGACATCACTCACACACAGGTCGCTCCTCAGCTGGCCGTACTGCATCGACACCCAGAAGCCTCTCCTGTCATCCAGGCTGACGAAGGGCTCGTCTGGGTACCTGGCCCGGTACTTCTTCAGGAACCCCCCCTCGAAGTCCGCCAGGACACCGTCCATGTCAACCAGGACCCGCAGTCTCTTACCCGATGCTGAAGAGGACGACATGTTTATGCAAATCCTCCTAAACGGATCAGGGAGTAACGTTTTCCCTCTTCCGAGTAGGCGTGCGGTGGTGGAGGGTAGCATCGCCGCCAGCTTCTACAGATTCTGCAGACGAGTGGAAAATAAGCCGACAAAGTTCGCATGGGAGTCAAGAAGCTTCGAAAATAACCATAAGTCGTTGCGGCCACTATGATTTATCGATGAAGTTGTGTTTGTGGTTTTGTGTTTGGTGATACAGCTGAGTTGGCTAGCTGACCGGCTAGCGGACTAGCCACCAAGAGCTAAGTGTCAGCCTGTATTAGATGAGCAGCCGCTACGGTGAACCTGTCTAACGCATCTGTCACAGTTACTGTGGAGAAAGTGGACCGAAACAACCAGTCAGCGGCTAGTTTAGCAGCAACGGGAGTGCTCAGCTGTGAGAACAAACACTGCAGTCACACAGCCCACTGGTTTCACGGTGCGCAACAATACTGTAGATTACGGTAGGAAATGCATGTGTTGACTTCAAAATAAAAGCATACGCAAACATTAGAAAGGAAAAACTGCTATATGATGAGCACTCGTGTAGAAGAAAATAATCTATTTGAAAAACAAAGTAATAGACTGCCCCCATCAACCGTGTTTTTCACAACTACATTTCTAAATATTTCATTTAGGCATTATTTCCCCTATTCACAAGTGCAAAGCTCTTCTTTTCAACAAATGTTAGTGTTTACAAGTTGTGTTTGTTGTATTAGGTCAATCGTATGTTGATTAAAAAAATAAACACTTGTTTTCACAGTTTTGACTTCAATCAATTTGAAGAATGTGTCTGTCTAAAACTTCTCCAGCAACCTGTGCTTTTACTATGGGTCCTTTAGGAATCATTTATCTAACAGCTAGTCCAAGCACAGCCCTCTGCTGTTTCACATCTTATCTCCCAAACAGATCTCAAAACAGCTTCATGAACAACTGCACATCTAATATCACCCCAGTGGTGTCCCTCAGGACTTGGTTCTCAGTCCCCTCCTTTTCATTATAATATATTACCCCTTGGACTCAGCATTCACCTGGACACCAATTTCATTCACTATTTGAAGCGTATTAAGTCTTAGTTTTAAAATCTGAAGTTGTGTTGATATTTAGTTCATGATGATGCTAAAGTCAAGCAGCATTTTTGTTTTGTTTTTTGCAATATGTAACTAAAGTTCAGGTGATCTTTACTTAATTAATTAGAACAATCACCAGTTAAAGGGTTAGGGTTGGAGCCAGTTAAATTCTCCACAGAGATTTTTGACTGTTTTGGTGCGAGAATGTGATGTGAAATTTAAACAGGAAACAGCTCCACCTAGAGCCACCTATGTTTATGACCTTTGATCATAGCACCTCTGAATTGAATCCCAGCACCCCTAAAGTTTGAGTTAAATTTTTTCATTTATTTACTTTTACAGTTTGTGCTTATTTTTAAGCATACCAGTGGTACATAAAAACGACACAGTGCTTGGTTGAAACATATTTTCATAAACAAAAATAGAGCAAATCTCACCCATCTCAAAAATGGTTTGATCCTGCTCACCTTTCCCAGACACAGGCTTTGATATTTGATGTCAGTTTAAAAAATATCATTTGGGTTTTATTAGTTTTTGAAGTTAAGAAAAACATAAAACTGTTGCAGAAATATGTGGAAAATTAAGAACAAATAAGCATACATAGATCTAAAAATATTAGGTACATTTAGTCAAAATTCAGATGAAGCTGAAGTTGGTTCTTATTTCTGGTTTTTCCAACCAAATGTTTCCGCTCACTGAGCATCTTTAATATTTTCTTATTTAAAAAAATCAAAACACCTGGACCAGTGGTTACCAACCTACGGTCCTTGACCCACCAAGAGGTTCCACTGAGGCTGAGGATGTGAGGTTTCCGAGATTAAATTAGTAAAATTTACATAAAATCTCACACACCCAATATTACAATGAGAACTCTGTATAAGGGTTATAACTCTTCATGTCTATACAAAGTTTATAATTAATCGTTTTTTAATGTGTAAATGTGGGTAAGATTTGAGTTCCCTTAAGGGAAATAAAGGTTGGGAACCACTGACCTAGACTCTTCAAACTTGGACTAGATTATTCTACACTAGTAGCAGAATCACTTAAAAACAGTTTATGGTTTATGAAACCTGTATAGGATTTGTGAAAAAAAGGTTGTTTTTCCTTTCACAAATATGGGATTGATGTTGTGTTAAAATGTACTAAACAATAAAATGTATCTTGCCTGGTCGAACATCTCTGGTTGCTCAGCACCTCTAAACCTCTACACGTAGATTCGCCCCTGCTGTTCATGTTTTAAATCAGCACAAGTATGTATTATGATGACACCAAAAAAGGTGGGCTTTATCCATCTTTTTCTACAGTCACTGCATGACACACACAAAAAACCTAGTTGACAGCAGTTTCCTAAATAAGTGGATTACATTCTGGGAAATGTCTCCATATAGAATTTAATGGGAAATTAATTTTAAAATACAAAAAAAAAATAAAAAATAAATAAACCCCACAATCAATTACTCTTTGTGCAGTAATCATATTATTTTACTGTTCTGATAAGGTGGAACATATTCCGGAATTCTTCTTTTATTTTGAAAACCGTTTATACCGTAATATAAGAATTCACAGGCACAACAAAAAAGGTTAAGGGTGGCCTGACCAAAGTGAACAAACTGTTCTACAAACCTCACATGCTTTAAAAAGAGATGTTAGATTAGCCAGATGGGTCACTCCTCCATTGCCTTAAATAGATGTGTTAACGCCATTAGAAAAATTAAAATATGAGGTTTAATTAGTTAGTCCTACTAATTTTGACATTTAAAAATAGTGTCAAATAAATTTACAAAAATACATTCAAATATGAACTATTTAGTCAACGTTAGACAAAATCAGTAACATCACAACCCATTGAACAGAAGAAAATATGAGTGGATTAAAAAAATGCTCAGACTAATGACTTTGGTGATACAAATCTTTTCAAATGTTTTCCTTTATTAAACTTGTGAGGAACTCTTACTGTTGAAACCATCTTTGTAAAATACCGCTAGATGCACTGTAATTAAAAAACGAAACTACGACCCTAAGTTAATGTTTCACAATGTTGCAGTAAGTGTGTTCCCAACCCCACGGCTTCCCCTAGGTTACAAAATGCGGTCGAATGTAAAAAGTGGGAAATTTTTGTTTAAAAGTGATTGAACGCCAATTGTGTGTCTGCCTCTTTAAGAATCAAAATGACGGTTTGTGATTCTCGTTGCAGGCTGTTCTGTTCCACAGATCTCGCGATAGCTTCTCATCAGTGGCGGCTGAGTGGCCCCCTGTCTCAGTACGGAGCGAGTTGTTTCGGACGTTTGAATGAAAAACATTGCAAATTACCTCCCGTTTGGACCCAGGAAATAATGGCTTCAGCATTGGAGCAGTTTGTGAACAATGTGCGGCAGCTCTCCGCTCAAGGTAGGACTGTTGAACTCCTCTTAACCGGGAGTATTAGCTAGTTAGCCAACATATGCTACTCAGTGCCTTGCCGATAGCTAGGCAGCCAAACTGCTCAGAGCCCTCTTTTTGCTTTATCATGTAAACACACCACAAAAATGACTTTATGAGGCCTTAAGAGTTCTGTAAACTATCATCATAGAATGCGTTAATGCACACGGACTATGAGAGCTATTGCAAACTCTAGAATTTACTCAACGAAATGTTTCTAATGTAGTTTTTGTTTTTGATCTGAAAAATAATTTCTGGTTTCTGCCTACCGGTAGTCCCGCCCACCGTCCCACGTGATTGGCTGGTGTACCGAAATCTGGAATATGATTGGTCGAAAGGCATCTGTCAGTCACTTCAGCTCTTCTCGTCCAAGGCCTTGTCAAGGCATTACAGCGATCGATTTTACTTAAAAGTCTTGCCGATTATTAACAATGTTGTGAATTTATTTGTTTTAACGTCAATGAATAACTGCTTAATTGCGTTGATGAATGAGGAAGTAGACGGCCTTTTGATGATTTGGCGCGTGTAGTAATAGTTTCAGCCCACATGAAATGAAAAGTGAAGGTCTCGTTTTGTCTTTTACGCGTTTGAGGAGACATCCTTGGTTCCCCTGATACTTCCATAAAAACACATCTTTGAAACATATTTGTAACATGCCTTTTTAGTTTGCTGCAACAATACTAATAAAGCTGTTTCATTGTATGAAAACAGAGAACAAAATCTGCATTTCCACTTGCTGTGGAGACACATATTCAGATTTCCCAAACCTCTAAACAACGTGAAGTAGAGTACAGGTGATTAAGTTGTCTGATGTTTGTCTCCGTCCCTCTCTCAGGTCAGATGACTCAGCTGTGTGAGTTGATCAACAAGAGTGGGGAGCTGCTGGCCAAAAATCTATCCCACCTGGACACGGTGCTGGGGGCTTTGGACATCCAGGAGCACTCCCTTGGCGTGCTGGCTGTGTTGTAAGTTTTTACGTCTACCTTGACTCTTGTATTACTGTTTCACAGAAAAAGACAGCTACCATGCTCCCTCTTATTTGTTGGTGACTCTTTTATATTCTGTGAAATGTTCTGGTAAGAGAAATAAAACTCGTCTTTTTCCATCTAAATGTCGTTTTCTGATCTTTGCTGTAGATTCGTAAAGTTCTCCATGCCAAACATCCCAGACTTTGAGACGCTCTTCTCCCAAGTTCAGCTTTTCATCAGTACCTGCAACGGGGAACACATTAGATATGCAACAGACACTTGTAAGTCCACGTGTGGCCTGCTGGGCATTTGTTGTTTAAAGACTAAGTTAACTTATAACCAGTTTTTACTTTTTATTTTTGAAATGTGATCAGTCACTTGGAGTTTATCATGCTGGCTGAATGTGAAAATAGTCTTCTACCCATTTTTCCTGCATTAGCCACCAGTAGAAAATAGATGGAGAAACGCTCAAATTAGAATAAACCACACCGATCTGTCACACTGAAAATTGGCATCATGGACTCATCCATCTTGGCTCATGATGTGGAAGGCTGTTGTCGATTTACAGTCCAAAGAACGTCTCGGCTAGTACAAGCTAACTGTTAGCATTAGCAACTACACAACGCTTGTGTTGTTTGTGGAGGTAAAACATCAGTGTTGCAGAGTCAGTGGTAGAGTCGTGTTGCTGTTAGCCAATCAGAGTCTTCCGCCCCTCACTCCTCAAGCTAACTTCTACTTCCTGAAGCAGTATCGAGAGCTTTTTTCCCCACTGAGATCGACTCACAAGGCATTTATTTAAACTACAGACCACTGCAAATGTGTTGAAATGGGTGAACTTGGTCTTTAAGCTCCGTCACTGAGGTCTTGTTAGTTCTAATGTGTAATTTCTACTCTTGTACACAAGTTTCTTACCACTGTCGTGATGTTTTGCTGTAAAAGTTACTCTTTGATGATCTGTTTTAATATCTTCTTCCTATTCATCTCATTTTTGGGAGAATCTTCTTATTGCAGGTTTTATCTTCTGTGATGTGAATTTTAAAGATCAAGCTTAGATAAACAGTACACATCTTTTGATGTGGGGTTCTGTGGAACAGGTGTGAACAGGTAATATCTCACCTAGGGATGCGTACCGAATTCGGTACTTTTTAAGGTACCGACCGAATTCCATAGTACCGACCGAGCACCGATTCACGTCATTTCAAACGGTGCCTCGTTTCGGTACCCATCCATCATAACGAGAACTTGCCAAGACAGCTGCGCATGCGCAAGAGCATTTTGTCGTCGCTCGCTGCGAGCGAGTTGTAAACAGAGCAGCATGGTAGAAAGAACGCACGCTAAAGCTTGGGTCCACTTCACTAAATGTGATGGGTAACTGGGTGATGATGAAACCAGCGACAACGATCTAAGTGAGACATCCTCATCTTAATCTGCTCCAGTAGGTAAATATAATTAGCTTGATATGTTAGCTTCCGTTTCGCTAATGGTGCATTCGCTTTCTCCTCGGAACTCGGAATTCCCGACTGGAAGAACATGAACGCGCTCTAAAGTTTGGCTTCACTTTACTAAATGCGACGGGTGATTGGGTGAAGATGAAACCAGTGACAACGATCTAAGTGTGAGGCATCATCGTTTTAATCTGCTCCAGCAGCTAAATAAACTGTTTAAGATAACGTTAGCTTGGTATGCTAGCTTCCATTGCCACCATTGTTATCAGCTAATGGTGCGTTCACTTTCTTCTTGGAAATTCTAACTTCCCAGTAGGAAAAATCAAAAGAAAAAGGACGGCAAAAGGAATGAAGACACAGTAAATTTAGTTCACAGTAAAGATGTTTGCTTCAGTTTAATTATCAGCTTATAAAACTACAAGGACGATGTTAAAATACATACAGTTGTATGTTATTTATCGTGATATTTATCAAATATGGTTATATATTAAGAAAAAATATATTATAAAAGAGAATTAAAATTATAATCACTCAAAAGTATCAAAAATTGGTACCGTTAAGTACCGGTATCGATTCCTAGGTACCGGGAATTAGTACCGGATCAATTCAAATGTCAAAGGTACCATCCCTAGTCTCACTTGTTGTAGGTCGCTGTTTGACCAACCTCAGATTAGAGAGGGATTATATCCGATTGGCCAAACAAGTTAGAAACGAGTCACAGTTCAGCCCGTCAAGCTGCCCTTGGTCATGCACCACGGTGACACCAGCACTCAGACATCGTGTTTGCGTGAACCACCGACCCTCATTCTAAAAGTAGCTCACAAGGTGAGAACGTATGGGCACCCCTGCTTTAAATTGTTCCAATCTACAAAAAATCATTGCATTTGATCAAAATATTGTTTTGTCCGTTTTTACTTTTCATTGTTATTCCAGAAGCGTGCTGAGCTAAGATGGTAAATCACATTGCAGCTGGCCAGCAGCTCATCCATCTGATCAGAACTAACGTTGGTTTTCCCAAACTGGGGTTGCTCAGCAAGCTGTCTGCGACAGGTTCATCAGCTTCCCACTTCAAAAGATGGGACGTCTTTCCTTCGTTTTATTGTGTCAAACAGCTTCTGCTTTTATAATCGCCAATGCAGCCAACAGGTTCTTCATGTCTCCTAGAGATGCTGGTTTCTGATTCAGGCTCTCAGAAACCACAAAGCCGCTGCGTTTAAAATGGAATGGTGCCGTCTGACGGCTACACTCGTAGCTGTCTTGTGACAGTGTTGGAAAACAGCAGCATGATGCACACGTCCAGAATAAGCCTCCATTATTTTTCACTGTATCTCCACACTCTGTGACATGGCATCCAGTCGTTTTCCAACTGTCACTCCTAAAACAAACGCACCCCGCTTCCTGCTCGGACAACAAGCTATTCTCTGTTTTTTTAAGCTAAACGTCACAACACTGCCCCCGTTGGCGTAAACCGATAGCTCTTAAAACGTGCGCTTTACGCTTGACATCATCTGAAAACGGCTGTTGTCACAAATCTGTGTTTTTGGTAGAAGAAGAAGAAGCCACCTTTTAAACGGTGCCTCTCAAGACAAAAATCACAAGGATTAAATTGTGAAGATTAAAAAATGTGAGGAAGGGGAAAGAGAAAATGAGGAGAGGTTGGTGATGAAGGTCCCACCAAAACCAGCCTGAACAGGTGAGTTTTAAAGGAGACCACTGAGTCCACTGATCTCAGGCTCAGGGGGAGAGAGTTCCAGAGTCTGGGGGTCACAGCAGCAAATGATCTGTCACCTTTGACCTTTAGCCTGGTGCTGCACAACCAGTAGGCTTTGATCACTGGACCTCAGGGACCTGCTGGGGGTGTAGGGACTAAGAAGATCACCAGCGTACAGTGATGGGAACAGCACTGTTTAAAATAACGGTGTTTGTAAAAAAATAGTTTTTTCAGTAACGAGTAATCTAATTAGTTACTGTCTTGTTTTTATCATAACGCTGTTTCCGTTACTGATAAGAAAATGCGTGCGTTACTAATTCAGCAGCGCGGTGTGTTGAAGCTGTCATCAGCTGATCAGGAGCTAAAGAGGCAGATGTTTTCATCCAAGCGCATCACGGCCCGTGAAGAACGAGGAAGATGTGATGAATAGTCTACGGCTGCAGGTGTGGATCTGCAGCCGTGCCCTTCTTAGCGGGACAGCGGGACGTCCCGAAGGTCCGCTCACCTGTTCACCGCTCAGACGTCCTGATCTTCTACCTTCCTAGATCATCCAGCTGTAACCTGTCTCTGATCATGTCTTTAGTCCCGCTGTAACACTGATGCGTCAGTCTCGCCCCTCCTCTCCACCGGAGCCGTCAGCAGCAGGAGCAGCATGTCGCGGCCCTTTACGTGCCGGTTCTATTTTCTACGCGTGATGCCTCTGAAACGGGTCAAGTTCGACATTTTTGGGGAAGGAAAGACAGGAAATTGGACGCAGAAACGGAGCGAAGCTCCCGAGATTTTCAGAATAAAGAAACATACTGCCTTCCAGTTGCTTTACTTTAAAAAAAAGGTTACTAACTGCGGCCCCGTGAGAAGTTATCACCTAGCTAGCGGTCCCCTTTGTTCTTCAGGTCCGTATTGGCGATTATAAAACGGACAGAACATAAAACACAAACCATGTTGTAATTTTCTCCTGCTTGTTGTTGTGTTTACTGACGAAGTCACGCGTGTGACTTCCTGCTCTGTCGGTGACAGCTGCTCCCCTGCTGCTACGCGTCTCCGGTGGGAAGGGCCAAGCAGCACTATTGTATTTATGCGGGTGTCTCTGCAGCGTGGAGTGTAAGCTTCCTGTTCAGAGACTCAGCGTTGTTTCTGTTGGAGTAAAATTCTGTGCCTGTGGAGAATCTGCAGCATCTGTTTGTTTCTTTGACTCCTCTGTTGTGTTTTCTTGCAGTTGCTGGTCTCTGCCACCAGCTGACGAATGCCCTCGTAGAGCGAAAACAGGTGACGTGTTTACCCTCCATGATGGTTTTACATCATTTCTCATTTCTTTGTGATTCTTCAAAGATCAGACAGACTGTTGGTGTTTTCACGTGCAGCACGTTTTAGTGGTTTAAACGTTAAATCCTGGACAAAGTAAAACAGAAATCACTCTTTTATTTAGACATTTTCTTGACTTGATTTTAACCTTTTTATGTCCTGTTTGGATTTGTGACGTCTCCAGCAGAGAGGAGCTCGTTCTGATTTATTCATGTGAAACACTGACAGCGTCAGACACTTACCAAAGGAAATTCACTGGCCTCTGGCAGAAAAACCCACTTCCCCTACGCTAGTTTGAGGTTTTCTGGCTGCTGTGACGTTTTCCTTTTAGCAAACGCATCATAAATGTGTGTGAAAGCTACAGTCCAACGTCCCAGTTCTGAAGTTCCTGCGGGTGGAACCCTCATCTGTCTTCTGCTCCCACACCAGTCCTTCCATCATTTATGCCGCGTTGTGTTTGCACACCCAGGGGTGGTGCGTTCCTCCTTTTCTGTCCTGGTCTAAATATTTTAATGGATTTTAAAATAGTCGGCCCAGTCGTTTTGAGTTTGTTTGGATGTTTCATGCAGGCCGCAGCAGGATAACTCCTCTTTCTCCTCCCACAGCCGTTGAGGGGCGTGGTCATCCTGAAGCAGGCAATAGACAAAATGCAGATGAACACAAACCAACTTACCTCAGTTCATGCAGACCTGTGTCAGGTGAGACTCGCTCTGCTACAAATGTGTCACTATGGGACGTGTTGTTGAAGGGATTTTTGCCATTTTGAAGTGTGTTTCTGCATCAAAATGACGTATTGTCTCATGGCTTCAGTTTGGAGAAACAGAGCTTGTGTCCTATAGGACTGATGAGCTAACAGCTAGGCTAGGGCACAGCCAAGACACATCTGAAAATGGCTCCACTTGTCTAAATGTCAGTGCTGCTTATGAGGCACTGTTCTAAATGCCTTTACACCACCAACAGTCTCGCATCTAATGTTTGTTTTTGTAGAAATTTGAAGACATTTCTATTGAACTCGAACTCTGGATGCCCCAGAGCTTCTACATCATGCTGCTGCTGATAATTATTCACATATTTTGTATTTTGATTTCAGCTACAATCACAAAGATGGTGTTATTATTTAAAACATTCATATTTTACTCTTTGAGCATGTTCGAATTTAGCCTTTAGAAGTCAGCGTTGGTAAAGATGGCAGAATGAAGCCAAAACACACTGGTGGTGTGTAACACAAGTCAGAAAATACATCTCTATTTTAATCCAGACCTAGCTGTTCTGTGGGTCGGTGCCTGGTGATGATGCTGTAAACATCACCACTCCTGAAAAATCACATTTGGACCTCCGGGCTTCCATAGCAGCCATGTTTTCACGACGCTGGACAGTTGGTGTGCTTTAGACTGTATGTGACAGAAGTACTTTGTTATGTTATCCTAAGCTCACCAGACGATGGTCGTTTTTATGGTTTATATGGGAGCAAAAGAGTAACCATTTTAATCACTAAACACCTCGACGCTGCCGCCTGTTGGTCTAAGTCTGCAGAGCTGACCCCCGTCTCACCCCTCAGCGACTCTGCTCTCTCTCTCCTGCAGCTGTGCTTGTTAGCGAAGTGTTTCAAACCCGCCCTGCCCTTCTTGGAGGTGGACATGATGGACATCTGCAAGGAGAATGGCGCGTATGACGCAAAGCACTTTTTATGTTACTACTACTATGGTGGCATGATCTACACGGGCCTGAAAAACTTTGAAAGAGCACTGTATTTTTATGAACAGGTACCTTTTTCTTTAGTGTCTGAGCTCGATTTAGCAGCCTTTTCAGAATCTGTCACCTGGAGCTGTGTTCTCTCCTCTGCACTTTCACTGACAGGCAATAACCACTCCAGCCATGGCAGTGAGCCACATCATGTTGGAAGCTTATAAGAAATACATCCTGGTGTCGCTCATCCTCCATGGCAAAGTGCAGCAGCTGCCCAAATACACCTCACAGATCGTAGCGAGGTTCATCAAGGTACCACCCATCAGCTGTTACCCTTATCTGTCTTCTACCCACAGTGATATGAATGCTTTATGCATCTGATTGGCCAACTGGGACCATCTTTACTGTCCTTATGCTTGTTTTTGTGCTTTTAAATATCAAAGTTTAATTATTTATTCAAAAAACAAGTTTTCTCCTTCAGATGTGTCTATTTGACTTCATGTCTTCCACCATAAAAATGTTAAATTTACTGAAAGTTCTACAACATCCTGTTTATTTCTACCAGGTCCTGCATCTTAAACTAGAATACATCAGTGCTCGGCTCCATCTGCATTAGTTTGTTCCTTGAACTGGAGCAGTCGGGTGTTTTTCTGAACTTTTGTGGCTCTGGAGTTAGAATCTCACAGGGCTTTAAATGTGCCCTGACCCTTTGGTAAGACAAAGAAAATACTTTGGTTCTAGCGTGCTGTGCAGCTACACGTACCTGCTTTTCTTTTTCAAAGACCCACTCCAATGAAAATAATTGTGTTTTTTTCTGTTTTTAACATGTTCTTGAGACGTGGTCTTATGCTACATGACACATCTAAAGAAGCTTAAGCTCAAGATTGCCTTTCTGCGTTAAAAATGCTGTGAATCCGTAGCAGATGAAAACATGTGGCCTAAAACTGTCTGGGTTTGTTTGTTTATCAAATCAAATCCATCAAATATACTTTATTAATCCCAGAGGGAAATTAGAGTTTCAGTACACACAATTCAGAGATCAGACATACATAGGCAAGACACGTGACAAGAATTGGTGACTGTGGTCATTCGCAACCCGAGTCGCGCTACCTTAATAGAGACAAGAGGGTAACATGAGGATTGGTTCAGGTGGAGGGAAAAAAGGCACTTCAGAGTTACCCTCCACCGGGAGGGCAGCGTTGCTCTGCAAAAAAACACCTCAGACAGATATGCAACAGACTTCAGACAACACAACATAAGTGTCCACTAGGTGGGGTGGTGGGTTGGGACTATCCCCACTTCAGTTCCTGCAGCCACGATAAGCAGCGCACGTCACCTCCGTGTGGATAGGGGGAGGCATTGAGGGTTGGAGGGTTATTGTGCTGTTTGGATCCCCATTAGCTTCCACAGCAGTGGTTGCTAATCTTCCTGGGGTCCATTTTCAAAATACAAAATACATTTAACAATTCAAATGATTAAAACATTATAAATGATTACATTAGGATTTTAAAAGCTGTAGTGGCCAACCAGTGCCATCGAAAAGATCCCCCTTAACTTGCAGAGCCATCTGAAAATACCTTTCTTCTCGTTCCATCACAGCTACGAGAACAAAACAATAACAGAAAGTGCCTTAAGCCTTTTTTTTAAATGTTTTTCTTAAAAGAGCTTGATTTTGGATTTCCCTAACGAAACCTGGTGGTGTATTCCACTCAACAGTCCCTCTATAGAGAACGGCTTTCCTCATGAAATGACTTCTAGGTCTTGACACTATCACCATGTTATTGCTTGAGTGTTATGTGCTCATGGCCATATCCACTAAGTAATATTTCGTCTTTCATATGATGATGAATATTATTAGTCATAACTTTTTGCACAAACATCAGAAGACTATAGCCTCCACAGTTAACCATGACAACTCAAAATGCATCTGGTGCACATTGGTTCGAAGAGGACCGTTCAAAACGTCTCTGCCTGCTCTGTTCTGAGCCATTAGCAGTTTGTTTCTGGACCAAACGACTGTACGGTACTGTAAATGAGATCAATCAAGACTTTGAACAACATGTTTCAGTACAGCGGTAGAACAACATGCAGAGCACTTTCTTCACAAAGATTCCTCGGCCCATCGTACTGACTCTGTGGTCAACGTGATCCAACCAGGATAATAAGTCGTCTACTCTAACACCCAACAGTTTGAATTTGGTGACCTGCTCCACCTTGGTATAATTAATTAGCAGATTTGTGACATCACAACCCACTGGGTGGAGCACAACCTCCACTCCTGTCTGCCCCCTCAGCCTCTGAGGAGTCTTGTCAATGTTCAAATGTCAAATGGATAGCTCCACCAGTAAGACTCCCTACTTATGGTTCAAATCCCAGCTGGTGCATATGAGATTTAGGCTCAAATGTGAATCTGTATATAGTTTTCTTACAATCTATATAATTAAAAGAAATGTGGTTGTCTCCGAAGCCAGAAGCGTTGCCATGGTGATGTTTCGTCCACTCGGCTGCCTTGCAGACCTAACACCGCAGATCATGGATGGCGTTGCCATAGTGTGATGTCATCGGTAGGCACCATCCCCGGTCCTCTTTTTCGGAAATGGAAATGTGGTCACCCTGCATTAAGTGATATAATTCCTCAAATAAACGCCGTTTTCAAACACCACCAGAAGGAACGCAGAACGTTGGTGAATATACAGTCCACTGTGTGTGTGTGTGTGTGTGTGTGCGCGCGTGTGTGTGTGTATGTAACAAGAGCATCAAAGGCAGAAGTGGCCGTATTAAATGATATAATTCCACAAATAAACTCTGGTTTTACACATCACCACCTCGAGTGGCTTCCTAAATGGACCGACACCACAGCTCTGTTGGTACAGCCTCGATAAAAAGGGACTTGGGCAACCGATCACACCTTTTACAAGGCCACGCCCCTTCGGATAATCCGTGCATGTGCACAGGCACGCAAATTAGTTATACATTAATATTAATTAATGTGTCATTAATAAGGTGCCCACATTTTAATTGTTAAACGTCCAAACGAGACGCACCGGAAGACGTGGAATTAACGGCCAGAAAAGACGTCGGCTTACGCCTCCTCCCCTGAACAGAACTGCACCGGTGTGGTTTGGGACTCGGTCCTGGAGAGAGGGTGAAGCCGGGCTCTGAGTAGGTCGCACCGCCACGGGAACCACGAGTTTGCGTTACGCCGCGCTATTCCGACGCAGCTCCAGGAAGATTCTAGTGCTGAGCAGGCAGCCAGCACGCCACTCCCAAACACAAAGCTGACGCATTTCATCAGATGAGTTTAGGAAGTTGGACTGAGCTCGCTCACACACAACCTGGTCAGAGTCACCGTGGAGGAGAGATTGAGACGGGTGGAGCGAAGGAGGAGCTCAGAGCAGGCCCATGTGACTGAATTTGGTGACCTGCTCCACCTTCCATGCAACAATCCTGACCGCTGAGTTGGTCATCAGGAAATGTGTCCGTTCATTCCGGCTTGCCCTCCGCACCAACTGCTCCGCCCACAACCCAGAGGCAAATTTTTAATGAGCTACTGCCACTATGTAGAAACTCAGTCCTGGAAAACAGCCTCACAGTTTAAAGACCACTGGGAACTATTTAAAACAGCATGATAGGATGCCTGAATGAAACCCAAATGACCCTCCTGAATGTTGTTTAGCTCTGTCTTGGCCACTTTACGCGTGTGTGTGTGTGTGTGTGTTAAGTTTTCCTTCTGTTCTCTCCCTTTCATTGTTTTGGCTTCAGCCCCTGAGCAACGCGTACCACGAGTTGGCTCAGGTGTACGCCACCAACAACCCAGCTGAGCTCTGCAGCCTGGTCAACAAGCGCAGTGAAACCTTCACGCAAGACAACAACACGGGCCTGGTGAAACAGTGCCTCTCCTCCCTCTACAAGAAGAACATACAGAGGCTAACAAAGGTGGCGGCTCGGCACCACAGAAACCACAGAAAGTCACGCTTGTCTCTCAAAAGTCTCATGAGTTTGTGTCGTCCAATCCCCACAGACCTTTCTCACGTTGTCTTTGCAAGACATGGCGAGTCGAGTGCAGCTTTCAGGTCCCCAGGAAGCAGAGAAATACGTCTTACACATGGTGAGTGTCGTATGAGGATCAGCTCATGCTGCTAAATGTGTCCGTCTTGATTTTGAGGGTTTCAGTATTTTGCCCAGAATCGAGTTCAAAGATGCAGAAGATCCAAATTCCTTCTGTTACCAAAACCTTTTCCAACATTCACCCAGCTGACTGCTGATGCTGAGTTTTGCTCCCGGTCCTTCTTTCAGATTGAAGATGGTGAAATCTACGCTAGCATTAACCAAAAAGATGGCATGGTCTGCTTCCACGACAACCCCGAAAAATACAACAACCCTGCAATGCTCCACAAAATAGACCAAGAGGTGAGGATGGGATGTGGCCTGTGGGTTTTCCCGCCGTGGGCATCAGTTTGAAGCAAATGTCTGTTCTTCTTTTCAGATGTTGAAATGTATAGAGCTGGACGAGAAACTAAAGTCTATGGATCAAGAAATTACAGTAAACCCACAGTTTGTGCAGAAGGTGAGACAGCCTGCCGTGTGTTCTGTTTCTAATTGTTATTTCAGGGCATCCGCGGGTCCTTAAAAAGTCTTAAATTAGCTTTTCCAAATTTAAGGCCTTAAAAATCCTTAAATCCAGTTTCCAAAGGTCTTAAATGACCAAAGACCCAATAAACAAGATTATTTTATTTCTGTAAAATTTTTGTGAATTTCTAGTTAGTGTTCAGCATTTTTTGTGTTCGATGTTGGCGTAAGCGGAACCGTACACGTTCAGCTGGTTGTGAAAGGGGGCTATTTTTAGATGAGCACATTAGCTGGTTAAGCTAGTGGGAGCTCGCGCCACGGGGAAGTGCAAGTTTAATGGTAACTGGATGGCTAATCCCACCATCACGACGTGGTTAGCACCGGTTCCAGGCAATAGCTGGAAATTATAGCTTAAATTTAATTTTAAAAAATAGCTTAAATTTGGTCAAAGTGGCCTTAAAAAGGTCTTAAAAAGTCTTACATGTGGCTCTTATACCTGCAGATACCCTGTATTTTTAGGCAGAAGCCCATTTTAATGAAACAGACTGGGTTTTCCCTGAGCCTCACCTGTGTGTAACCCCGCCTTGCCACCGGATGTGCACCTGTCGCACAATGTCTGCGACAGGTGTGTTTCCCCCGGGCACGGAGCGCTGTGTCCCAGAGGCGCTGATTTAAAGGATGTGTTATTAAGTCGGCATTCGAACGGGTGCTTGAAATCCTTGAAAATGCTTGAATTTCAATAACGTGTTTTCCAGACAGGGGAAGTAATTGGTTTCTGCCTCTTGAAAATGCGTGGTAATTAAACTGTACCGTTTTGTATTTGAGATCAACCAAGGTAAACTAAATCTGTCAGGTTTGATGAAGATAAAAACTCAAGAGCGATCATTTAGCCTTGAATAAACTGGGTTCAGAACCTGAGTGCTGCTGTGCGCGGGTCGGCTCCACTCTGTAACGCCGGTGTGTGAGCGGCAGACTCCACGTAACACACAGACCAGCCGCTGGACCGGCGGCCTCCTCTGGATCCGCAGTGAAGCAGACCTGCATGAAACCGGTATGCTAGTCACCAGTGTTCATTCTGACAAGAAACTAAAATGTACTTTTAGTCTTTGGACTAAAAATGTTTACATTTTATTCACGATTTAGTCGACTAAAATGCACATTGCTTCTTCTGACGCGATGTTTGTCAACTTGTGTAAAGAACACGTTAACTACACCTACTTGTAATGTGAAGAATTCACATTTCACACGTTGGATCAGTAAAACTATATTTTTAAATGTTTTAATAACTAATTAATGGAAAATACCTAAATGAAAACAAACGTGCAGTCATATTTGTAAACATGACAGGAAATGACATCAAAACAATGAAAGGTGTGACTAGTAATACAAGGAGGTAAACTATAAAAGTAATTGTTGTCCGGTGCATTTATTAGAGTTTGACGTGCACTCATTCATCAAGATGAGCTGCCGGAACTTTTTCTGGGCCGGCTGAATGCTTTTTTCTCACAGAAACACCGCTGGAAGACCCAACGCTGGTATTATTGACTGTAGCAGAGAAGAAAAACGATGAAATGAACCGATGCGCCACTCCGTCATTTTGGTCCGGTTCCAGCCGAGTATCAGCGCCAGCGATCTACTCCTGACCTCGCCCGCCCCCGCTAGCTGCTACCACCGTCACGCTTCTGAAACCGCCACATCGTCACATCTAACGCGTTTCCTCCCAGCCGGGGGCATTTTCTCCCTTTAGACATACCCTTTACCATAAATCTTGTCTCATCAAGACCCACCTGTTCCGTTCGTTGATTGGTAATATATCACGTTAAGCTAGCTAACACTGTTTTTACTAGTTACATCAGTTAGTTCATGCTGGGAATAAAACACATTCTCTTTCATTTGTGTGAGAGCTTGTGGTCTCTGTCAGGGAGGAGCTGCAGGTGAAAGGAGGGAAGTGGCTGAGAAAAAATGCATCAAAGGGACTTGGGGGTTAATTTCCACAGTAATTTCACTGCTACATCACTCATCCTAATTCTGTTTCAACATTTTGTTTTCCATGGTTTCTTTTTTCTTTATTGTTACATTAGACAGAGCAGACTCGCGGAGGAGGCGTAAAGCCAGGGGACGGTAGCAGGGACGCTGATGCCGGGTCTTCACAGGTCAGGAGAGATTAGAACTCGATGGGAAAAGACTTCATTTGCTGGGAGAAACCAGGCAGGCATCAGGACGGGCTTTCACAGATCCTTTTGTTCCTGCTGAGCCCTGTAGCTATTTATTAAATAAAATAGTAATGGTGATCATTAAAACCTGCTAGGGCTGAACAGGAAAAGATTGAATTGCAATTTTTCTACCAGAAATTGTGATTTCGGTTCAATTCACGATTTTCTGCAAACAGAGGTGTATGAGAGGATGATAAATAACGCAGTAGACTTAGCGGCTGATGATGTCGCCCCTGGACTAATAAGATACCCAAAAAAAAGTTTTGGCTGCATGACGTGAAAGTAAACTTCAGCAGAGCTAAGTGTAACATCTGTGTTAAGATTTGTGTCACTAAACGTGGAAATACCAGCGACTTAATAAAGCACCTCGTTGTTTATGACGTTTGAGCCGAAGCAGGACCCGTCTTTGGCCAAGTGGTGCTCGCTTCAGAACCACAAAGGCGGAGCTGCACCAGAGTCAGCCCCGCCCATTCCAGTGTCAGCCCCGCCCATTCCATCAGAGTCAGTCCAATTCCTTCCAGTTGTCAGACTTAATAGCATTCTGGAACCAAAGAGGGTGTCATAGCTAATATCATCTAAAATGCAAGATTGAGGACGGGGTTGAGAAGTTAACTGAACAGTTTTTGTAAAGGTTCCATAAAATAAAAAATCTAACTTTTGGAACTTTTTATCATGTTATATTGTCATTTCCTCATAAGAAATACGCCAACGCCATTTTTGGCCCCATTCATGCATTTTCTTCCCATCTCAGCTTCAATTTGGTCTCCTCCCCCGAAGCGGGTCTGGTCTTGGTTCTCAAATCTGGATATTCTGTGAATTTTCTGACAAATTATTTCTGAAATGACCTCTACTGAGACACCGCCGATAAACCATACATCCCATCTACAAAGACACTCTGGATGGCACAATTACATGTAACGACACTAGCTTGTTATCAGATGTGGTGGTGAAGTGGTTATGGAGTCAGACTGGCATGTAGTTTTATGCAGGTTCTCCTCCCAGTAGCGGCAGTGTAAAGGTAGTTTAAAACCCTTTTCCTTCTTTTCTAGCTACACTTGCCAGTACTGTTTACAACAATTTATTGGTATACCGTTTACAATATAATGACTAATGTGTATTTATTTATTTGTTTATTTAGCCAGTGTGAGTCCATTTGTGAGCAGAGTTTCGACTAAAAAGCTGTTTAGGAACGACCAAATTCAAAGAACTTTTAGAGACAAAAAGATTTAGCAGAAAATAAACATTACAACTAAAATATAAACAAACTAAATGTTTCAACTGGCTAAATAGATAGCTACCGACCCCACTGAGAGTCGAACCAGCATCAGCAGAGTGGAAAGTAAAACTCAAGACAGACGATCTTGCCACTGGACTACCAGAGCCCACACAACAATAAGCCTTAAATGCTGTATAGGACGCTTTTGTTGGAGCGGCTGTGGGCAGATATCTGCTAAAAGAAACCTTTTCATTTTGGGAAATATTCAGGCTTTGTCATGTAGCAAGTTATATTTATCTTGTTTTATTGGAGCATAGAACATAGCATTAACAATTGTAAACTAGTAACAGCCGTAATTCATGTGGGTCAGGTTAGTTTGTGATGAAGTTAAACAAAAATAGAAGAAGTCAGTGGGCTAGGCTGAGTTTGCGTGAATGGGCGGGGCTGACACTGGTGTAGCTCCACCTTTGTGGTTCTGCAGCGAGCACCCTCTCTTTGGCTGCAGAAGCAGACCCGAGGACTTTGGCTAGCCATATTAACATTTAATCAACATCCACACCTGTTTGGTATTCCTATTGTACACCGTGGCAGATTAATGAACCCTAGTAGTCCTGATCGTATTCATATGATCATTATTGTCCTAACTGAAAACAGTTATTTTTACTTTATTATTTTTACTAGCAGAAATGTTTTGTTTGTCGTAAAATTATATTTATCAATTAATGCATCTGCTGATAGAGGGAGGGTTGGAATTTTCAGTAATGGCGGGTAACGGTGAGAGCCGGGGCGTGAACAAGGTTGCCTTTACACACATTGTCCCTGCTTAGTGGAACATTACAAGATGTCATCAGTAGGGCTGCAACAACGAATCGATAAATTCGATGAAAATCGATTACTAAAAGCGTTGGCAACGAATTGCGTCATCGATTCGTTGTGTCGCACAACTCTTCCAAAAGCGCTCCCCCTTCCCGCCCGCCGTTGCGCGCAGACCAGAGCAAGTCAGATCAGCGCGAGGGAGAGCCGCAGATCAGCGCGAGGGAGAGCCGCAGATCAGCGCGAGGGAGAGCCGGCAGATCAGCGCGAGGGAGAGCCGCAGATCAGCGCGAGGGAGAGCCGCAGATCAGCGCGAGGGAGAGCCGCAGATCAGCGTGAGGGAGAGCCGCAGATCAGCGCGAGGGAGAGCCAGTACCGGCAGATCAGCGCGATGGAGAGCCGGCAGACTTGCGCTGCTGCGAACCGGTTCCGCATTGTTGCACAGCGATCCAGGCAGCTGCTTCCAGCGCACGGTCCATTCTCAAAGTGGCGCAACCAAAAAACTATAATTAGCACACGATCGTTCATGTCCGCACATGTTCTCTATTTTCTGTCTTATTTGTGCCCGAAGCGCGCTACTGCGGAGCTCATCACCTGTGCTGTGGTGATGTCACCTCACGCAGCATCGAAAACGCGCTCTGCGCTTTTCGGTCAGGAGATCCCTTTGATCGGTTCAAAAGTAACTGATGAGGTGAAAAGGTAAGAATCCAGGCAACAGATTTTCTGGAGAACTAAGAGGAGATGCAGGAAGATGAGAGACAGACAGGACAGGAAAATAGTTCAATAAAAACAAGAAAACAAAACAAAGTGTTGAAAAGTAAAATGTAGGTAGATTTATCTCCACGACACGTTTTTACCAGTAAAAAACAATAAGTTATACACATGTCACATTTATACATCTGATACAATTCAGATCACCTTCAAAACTCAGTCACACACCCAGGGCCGTTTCAAGACATTTTGGGGGCCAAGGCAAAATCCCCCCCCCCCCCCCCCAATAACTGGGCTCCCCAGAAGCCTCTGTGTAATTCATGCCCTCTCCAGTAGTGTTAGTTATATGGTGTTTATAAAAGCCCCTCAGACATTACTGACATGCTCTAATATTATCAGATGAAAAACTAAATTATCAGACATGCTGTCTCATCTGCTGCTTTTCTAAACTTGCAAAAAGTAACAAAACCATTTGAAAGCCACTATTTGTGGATTCTCTGAAAGTTTCCATGGAGTTTGTGACAACTTATTTTTTCATTGATCCTATCGTCTAATCTCACAGCTGAAACAAGCATCCTTAATCATCTGTGCACAGGAAGCTTACCGATGCTGTAGTAAAACAAAAGGTATAATAATTTATTATTAATAAAACCTTGTTGCAGCACTAAAGCAGAAAAATTAGATTTTGCATTAAATATGCAAAATATTTACATATGAATTGTTTTAGAGCCCTTTAATTGGCAGAATCTGATGTTAATTTAGTTCTTACAAAAAATGGGTCCCAACATGGTTTGTGTGGCGTTGCCATAGTGTGACGTCATAGGCACAGATCCCCTGTCCTCTTGTTTGGAAATGGAAATATGGTCACCCTACATTAAACAAACTGTCCACCCGGGCTTTTGCACTGCACAGAGACGCTTCGCTGCCTACGACTGAACGTCAGTTGAGAGTCAGTCTCATGCAGACTGACCAATGAAGAGAGGGCCTCAAGTTAAGACCCTCTCCTCATTGGTCAGTCCACACGAGGTGGGTCAAAGGTTACTCTGGGCGGGTTACGTGTTGTCAGGCATTCAAGTATTGAGTATATTTACTGCATATTACAGTAAAATATTCTGTATGTGACCACATTATGGTGATCCTTGGGTCGTGATGATGGAGCCCTTGAATATTGTTGCCCAGGGTACAACAAAGTGTTAATCTGGCCCTGGTTCCGCCGTCACATTCCCGCAGAAACTGGTTGATCACACCGGGGCCAGACTACTAGCATGTGGTTTTACAACCACAATGTCCTCGGAAGCAAAAACGCTTTTAAAAGGGAGGGAGGAGTCCTAACTGTTGCTGCAGGCGTGTTGTGTGAGAGTGCAGTTATATACTGGTTAATATATTTTTGGGTTCAGTTGCTTTCATGTGGCCTAATGTGAGTCTATTTGGGATCATTGGAATGATCAGCAGCATTTCTTGATGTGACTTTATGGCAGTTGCCCAGGGCATCATCGCAAGGAGGATGGCATTCATTTACTTTTGTTTTATTTGGTATTTTTTCAGTCATTTTTGGAAATAGTGATCAATTTTGATTAATTCACAGCCTATGTTTAATTACATTTAAAATAAATGTCAACAGATGAGATCAAACAAAACAGATGAGAATTGCCCTTAAGCTGTTTAACTTGGACCAAGCATTTTAGGTCACAGATAGATGTAGCTTAGGGTCTCTGTCTATACACCTTATAAGACAATTTAGGTGATGGCATGTTGTTTTTCTGCTATTGAACTGTTTTCTAATAATGTTGTGTTAAATAAAGTGAAGGAAGGAGAGAAATAACGTTTCCCTAGCAGTTTTTAAAAATTTCCCCATGTAATCCGATTAATCGATTAATCGTGTCGAGACCCCATCCGATTAATCGATTATCCAAATAATCGTTTGTTGCAGCCCTAGTCATCAGTAATTAGGAATGTTCTGATCATATTTCTCTGCCGCCGATTCAAATCAGTTTGTTTTGATAACGAGTCCCAATTCAATATTTCAGCAATACATTATCTCTAGAACGCACGCTGGAGCTAGCAGGCTCGCTCTTCCCTGCACAACACCTGAGAGCTGCTTGTGTTAAATAGTGAGGAGAAAGCCGCTCATACCGCAGCTCCAGTAGGCTACAGCTGAACGTTTGCAACCAGAGACTCATCCAGTGTGATGAGTCTACTGCTATCTGTGACCTTTTTGCTGTCCGTAGGCAGTTTCTCTTTGTTTGTTTTTTATGTCAGCTGGTGGCGTGTTGTTATTTTTTTTCTGAGTTGCTGCAGTGAACTTTAAATGAAAACTAAGCCGTTGTCCTTACGTTGGAAAATCTCCATCTTGGGATGGTATATCCAATCTTTTTCCCCTGATTCCGATCATTTAAAATGATCTCCTGTTATAGAATCGTCTATAATAATACTAGTAATAAATGATTTCATATGATAGTGGGGTGCAACTGTCCTCTTGTGTTCTTGTTTGAAAATGTACCTTGATTATGCTTAAAAAGTGCTTGGCTGTGGGAAACGAACCCTGGAAAGAAGAAACGCTGCATTAGAACCAGAGAATCTAGGAAAAAAACATACATAAATAAAATGAATTGGTCCTTACCGGGTTTCAACATTTGAACAAAAGTGACTAGGGCTGAATGATTTTGGAAAATAATCTTAACTGTGATTTATTTCTTCAATATTGCAATTGTGATTTCACGATTATTTTCTCAAGGGGCTTTTCTCATTTTTCAACTAACGGAAGCAAAGAAATAAATCTGTGTTACTTGTACCGGATATAAACAAGTTTATGTATCTACATATCATATCAACAAGTTTATTTGTCTACATAAAATTGTATTTGAAGGTGCAACGCTTTGCAGTCAGGAGCACATCCCTTGAAGGAGCAACGGTATTAGCATCAATTGGGAAAGTTGATTTTCAAGAAAGAAGGGTGTCCCATTTTTTTAAAGTCTTTTGTGTTTAGAGTTTTTGACGTCTTGTCCATGCAGAGCTTCTGTAGTAAAGTTGCGTTCATAGGAAGCCTAAGTTACTTCCGCACCATGGGTCCCCAGAAGAACGACAAAACAAATTCAAGTCAACGGGGCTAAAAACACTATTTTCTAATTCCGCTTGTTTTGTGCCATGGATTTCACGTATGATGTCCGTGAGTTTTAAAGACGTATTTTGATACCAAGAACGTGCTTATTTTCGAACGGGGGGAACGATATTTTAGGTTCTGTGTGAAAATAAGTCCAGGACTACAAATGCGCTTCACGAAAGTGACGTTGTTGAACCAGACACGGAGAAAACTGAGGGAGAAGGGATGTAAGTTCAGCAAACTTCCCACAGGAGGAAAGAACCTCCATAAATCTGGTCATTTAGATGAGATTATGTGGTGACGTCACATATGCGACGTGCCGATTTCTAGTTTGTAGTCATGCTAATTACGAACTTTTACAAGCTGATAAATCTCAGTGCGTGACTGGCGTGGTCGAAACACCCATCACTGGTTTTCATTTAAATAGCAATACAGCATATGTGTGATCCAGGGCGTAAGGCGAAGCGGATTAGAAAAATTGCGCCTTTAGCCCCGTTGACTTGCATTCATTTTTTCGTTCTTCAAGGGGACCCGTGATGCGGAAGTGACTTAGGCTCCCTATAGCTGCTAGCCAAAACTCATTGGAGTTACAAGTTTTCTAGCTTTATTAAAATATCTGTACTTATTTGATTAATGGAAGTTTTTACTTTTTATTAGACTCCAAATGTAGCAGATGGGCACGTTCCTAATTCGTAATTTGTACGAATATAATCAGCAACATTAGTATTAGCACCCCTATAGGTATTTTAATGTATATTAGCATTGTGCTAACCACTCGCTGCCAGTCAAATCGCAGCCGTTGCGATTAGAAATTCTCCTTTTGTCACATCGCAATTTAATTGCATATGCAACTAATCGTTCAGCCCTAAAAGTGACACCTTACCCCAGCAGCAAAGTTACACCTCTACAAACTACAAGACCCCAAGAAGAAGTCTGATATGACAGTAACAGCTGTTGTCACTGCTCGTACCGATCGTCAGTCAGTGGCGTCCTTGCTGTATACAAGTGATGCGCGGACTTCCAGAGCAACCCACTCCTTCATCACATTCACAACTCTCTACATCACAGACACCTGGCAGAAGAAAGTACGGTAGTTAATCCTGGAATTGACACTTTGTTACTAAGAGTGTTGATTGTGAATCGAATCTTCACCCCAACAATTGGAATCAAATTGAATCGTGAGTTGTTGTAAAATTCACACCTCTATCAAAAAATGTCCAATTCGTCGTTCAAAAGCCTTGAATTATTGACAGAAAAGGGCCATGTCTACCACAAACAGCATTTTTACACCTACAAGGGTCCAAAAAGGTCCTCAAATAATGTGGTCTACAATGTCCAAAGTCCAACATCTTGTACCACTGAAATACTTCAAGATTTCCTTCAAAAGCGTCTTTTTTTTCTTCTTCCACTAACTCTTTCATTATTCCGTTAGCATGCTCATACTAGCTTCAAACGTTTACAGCACCAACTCTGGTCTGTAGGCTTTTGATCAACATCTTACCTGATCCATCAGGTGAACATTTATTATTCCTTGCTTTTTCTTTTACTTTAATGCAAAGAAAACGTTGTAGCTTCAGGATTTATATCTCCTCCTCCCTGCAAACAAATGCTTGAATGAAATTTGCTGACAAGATGTAATGTAAATGGATGGCTAATGGGCTTTTTCTTTTTGCATTAAATCATTATGGGATGTGTGCAGCCAAGGTTTGATCTGTCTGACGGGTAAATCATGTGACCCAGTTGATTGATTTGTGTATTTATATTTTTCAGAGTATGGGTTCGCAAGAGGACGACGTTGGTAGCAAAACATCGAGTTATTCATGAGGGGCCTTGGACAGGGAAGGAACGCTGCAGCCACCCGACATGTTCTTCCCAGGAGGAGTGAGAATTTTTTTAAAGAGGAGGAAAACAAACATTCTGTTGCATAAGGACATTGGTTGAGGAAAATCTAATTGTGTGGAATAATGATGAATTTGGTTATTCTTACTTCACCGTGTCTTAAGGATAACAACCATCCTTACAGAAAAAGGAAAAAATAGCAGCTTTGTCAGTGTTTTATTTATCAATGTTCAGGTTGGAGCACCACTGCTACATTGACAGAAACCACAACAATAAAACTGGACTTCTCTGTTCCAAACATATGTGTGAATATTCTCACTTGTTTGTTTTTGGTTCTGCATGATGGCCGTGGCTGGAGGGCATTACATATGAGTCAAAACATCTATGGGTGACGAGGGATAAATATGGTTATAGTCTACATTTGTAAAGAATTATTTTCTCTCCTCGGCTAGAATGTAAATACCAATTGCAAAACTGTACAAATGGACATGCCCTTGACTGATCTGGGTGCTGTGAGAAAGTCGAACACGATCTGGTGCACCTTTTTGTTTTTCTTGCTTTGTTTTTAGGTCGGATCCACTAGAGGGCGCCAGTGCACTGTACATGAACTCGGCGGCTTGTTACAGGCGGTGAAGTCGAACCAAACTGTCATGTAATATGGGTTCCCGCGCATTGTGGATCTGTTAATAAATTGTTTAAGAACATTTTACCCAGCTCTTCCTCTGTAAGGTGTGTTTCTAGTCTGTTTCTAACCGCATAGCGCTCCTTGAAGCTGATGTACGCCTTGCCTCGTTACACAGGCGGATGTGGGTAACGCGTCAACCAATCACAGCGCAGCAACAGTTGCGTAGAGGCGGGGTTTCACAGAAAAATACGAATTTTGGTACACGCCAATCATGTTCAACACCAGACACTGATTGGACTACTGGTGTTATGAGGGCGGGACTTGTAGCTTACCGTGTAAGCTACTGTTGAAATTCCAATGCTAACAAACTTTAGCCATTGCGCTAATATGTAAGTTAGCAATTTGTTAGAGCCGCAGATGCTGCGTGATGATGGAATAAATGCGTGAATGGTGTTTATCTCCCAAACGGGCAAGTTGGAAAATTAGCCTCGATGTTTGCTGCTGCGTGTGTCTCAGCTACTGCGCCCAGGACATGTCCATTTAGCCGAACAGCAGCAGCAGTCGTTGGATAAACCAACGGGGGCAAGCTAGCCCAGAGCGCCTGTTTGGACCTGTTCTGTGTTCGGGGGGATCTGAACAGCAGGTTTCATCGAGCAGAGTGGACAGTACAAGCCGGATGCTGTGACTACCATGAGTCCTGCGGGGTGCCCTCATGTGAACGGCTTCAAAGTGGACAACTGGAAGCAGAACCTGAGGCTTATTTATCAATGTTTTGTTTGGAGCGGTTCGGCTGAGACCAGAAAACGCAAGGTAACAAGTGCTGGAAGGAATTCCAGCGTACACAGCTCCCCGCCCTTCCTAAACCACACAAACACCCCTACCCAGCTCTCAGCGTAACTTCAGCTCAGCGAGAGGCTCGTTCTTCGTGTTGTGGTTGCGAGGCAGCCCAAATATTAGCTGCATCAGGGCTGGTGTGTTGGCTCTGCTTCCTCTTCTCTCTGCCAGCTTTAAGCCCTGGTCTTTGGGTTAGAAATCCTAAAATCACATCCCCGTTAACGAATCCGCTAAGCCCGCATCCCTGGAAGGAGCAGCAGGCAGGTCTGTGTTTATGTGTGGTCGGAACAGAGCCATGATCTCTGGAGACGAGCCAGAAACCTGTCATGTTTTATTTGCGTTTGTTATTAAAGACCTGGGTTGAATGTAAAATGTTTAGATTTTATGTGGATTTAAAATGATGAGTTGGGAATCATTTTCCACACAGGATATGTGTTATCTGTTATGCAATTTAGTAAAAATGAGTTCATAAACTGGATAAAATGTACATTTTTCCATTTGCTCTTAAAGATACAGATTGGCCGATCAGGTTGAATATGAGTTAGGGTTAACTCCGAGATCCGAGACGTCTTCTGTGTGCACGAAAGGACCCTTTCTCTCAGATATTGTTCATTAATCTGTTTAGATCTGGCTTACTGAGCACTGCTTCCTAGCTGACATCATCACCTCACAGCTGTGAGGGTGATGGTTATTGTACAGGTGTGTCTCAGGCTGGCCACAATAAAATGTGCTGCTTGAGTGCACATGATCTGCACAGGTCTTATGTTCCTGCATGAATCAGAGCCTAGCCACCCAATATCAGGCTAAGCACAGTCAGTATGAACTCTCCCCTCCCTTTACTCATTTTGAGCTTTCTGACAGGAAATTGTACCAGTTTCTTGAAGTTCTGCTGCATTTTGTAATCTTTACTCAAGACAAAAATAGAGCGAGGTGATCAGTAAACATTGCCAGGTGATCTGTATTGCACACGGAAACGCATCGCAGCACAATAACGATGGCCATCTTGCTGAAATCGTGTTTTTAGACTGGGTCAGCACACTTGGAACCACAACAAAGTAGGTACTGAAAATTTGAGGGAATGTGTGGGGGGGATCAAGTCGGAAAATAGCTTAGAAATCTAGACCAATCATAGCAGTAGCGAAACATTTTGCTCAGCAGGTTGGTCTAGCCATGCTCCATTGTAGCATCAGCAGGTCTACCATTGGCCTGACCAGTTTTGTGTCTTGCAAGTCTCTACGTTTATCGTTAAAGCTGCGACAGACAAAACAACACAGGTTGTGTCAAATCAATCAAATCAAAGCTTTATTTATAAAGCGCCTGTCAGGGAGCCCAAGGCACTGAACACAGTACATAAGAAATGTAGATCCCAATGAATGCGTAGATAATGAAAGCAAATAAAATAGTGCAAAGAGGATTAAAACATTGAAGTAGAAACAAATGGATAAAACAAGGGATAAAGTGACCAATAAAAACAACGAATAAAATCAACATAAAAGTGGGCCGACCTCAGACATGTTCGGGCTTAGGAACAACACTCATTTGAAGCAGCTTTGGTATCAACTTTGTGACATGAGCAGATAGAGGTACTCACATCCTTACTTTTGAAACTGGGTGTATTTGCTTCTTCTACGGTGTATGGTGGTGAGTACGGCATGTTGCTCTGATTGGTCCTAGCGCGGAGACAGTTGAGCGCGGAGACAGTTGAGCGCGGAGACAGTTGAGTGCGGAGACAGAAAGACAAACAGTTCCACCCCACGAATGGGTGGTTTCGGTTTCTTGTGGCCAGACTATATTTACTTGCCAGGCTAGGAACAGGCTGTCTAACCAAATCGTACCCCTCCGAGTCACGCTGAGCAACGCTGTTGGAAAACCCTCATACGTGTCCTGGTACATGCTGTACAAGTTAGTGCTCCAACGCGCTTTTTCTCAAGTCCACAGCGAAGTTAGCTGTAGCTCAGGCTAGCGTTATTCTGCAGTTGTGACCAAAGTGCAGAGGTGTGGACTCGAGTCACGTGACTTGTACTCGAGTCAGACTCGAGTCATTATTTTAATGACTTCTGACTCGACTTGATAAAATCTATAAAGACTTAAGACTTGACTCGGACTTGAAAGCCAATGATTTGCGACTTGATTCCACTTTCATCTATTGACTTGATGATAACTTGAGCATATTTGATATTTTAGCACAAAAGTGGCACGACATGGACAAAAATCATGAAATTATTCCTGGTTCTGGATTTGATTTACTGCTAATTGCAGCAGCGCTTTGTTTATAATCAGTTTCAGTTGCACTTCCTGCTTGTTTCAGCAAATAAATGAAGCTTTAAGAAGATTTATTTCTGGAATTTATTTATTATCATTGTCATTAAATTGAAGTTGGACAGACGACTTCATTATGACTTGAAAATTCAAAGTTAAGGACTTGGACTTGACTTGGATTTCCACATCATTTACTTTGAACTCGACTTGGACTTGACTCGAGACAACACACACACACACACACACACACACACACACACACACACACACACACACACACACACACACACACACACTTACACTTACCAAATGACCAGATTTATGGTGGGTCGTGGGTCTTTCCTCCTGAAGGAAGGATTTGAAGTTTGCTGAACTTACAGCCATTTTCCCTGTTTCTCTCCATGTCTGGTTCAAGGATGTCACTTTTGTGAAGCGCATTTGTAGTCCTGGACTTATTTTCACACAAAACCTATGATAGCGTACCCCGCCATGCAAAAGTATGCTTTCTTGGTATCAAAATGCTTCTTTAAAAGTCACGGACATCATATTTGAAATGCATGGCACATAACAAGCAGAGTTAGAAAGTAATGTATTTAACCCCATTTACTTGCATTCATTTTTTGGTTCTTCCGGGGACCCATGGTCCAGAAGTAGAAGACCTAGGCTCCCTATGGGGACCATCAGGGATGGGCCTAGTGGACCGCTTGTTCAAATGAAATAGGGAAAAAATCTGGAGCTTCATCCTATGAGTCACAATCCTACATTTAGGGAATTATTAAGAACATCTGCTGATGCAACCCCAGTCAATGGGGCAGTCCACCATGACTTTGTGGAAGAAGAAATAAAACATAAAACAATGCATTGCTTTTTAAAATAAAATGTGCTGTGATTGGCCAGCCACAATAATGGCCAGGGATGTGGAGGTTCCAGTGGAGCGTACCTTCACTGACATGCAAAGCAAAATTATGTTTCTTCGGCAAATGACTGTCTAGATTCTAGGCTACGAGTTAGGTGTTTAGACGAGCAAGTTTGGGCGATAATTTTCCACAAAGCACCGTGTTTCTGATTACACACGCGCAGTTTCCTCTCACCTTTAAAGGTACTGAAAGTCATTCAATAAGGTCTCATTCATTTCTATGTCATGTCTCTTTTTATCTGATTATTCTTATGCATTACATTGATTGTCAATATTCACATACTTTCCTTTATCCATCTTCCTGTTCCTCCGTTCCCTGCTCTCCTCCTCCTAGCCTTTCTTCTCACCACCTCATCTCCATGCTTGGCTCATTGGCATGCCGACTCCTCATCTGCATGCTTTTGAATGTTGCCGTTTTCCCATCGCCCACCGCCCTCGCCTTTTCTTCCACTGTGACTAATAAACACAGCGTATAGATAGCACATTTATTCAGTCAATTTGAGATCATCCTTGGATCACCAGATTATTGAAAGCAAGCAATGAGAATGTTGTTTTATTTAGATAAAGAAAACATTAGTTATTGGTTCATTGTGTAAACTTGACCGTAATGAATTTATTTTCTTTAGCTGATTGTAATTGCAGGGGTGTCCAAAGAGCAACCTGGGGTAGTTCGTGGCCCTCCGAGTCTCAACTGGAATAGTCTTTGTAACGTTTTAAACACTCATTTGAAGTGGATTGAACCAATTCAAGATGGCTGCCACAGCAAAGCCACCTCAAACATCATAGTGGAGTTACCTCAGTCAGTTTTACAGAAATTGAGACAGTAGTTGGTGATGCAGCAGCTTAGTCATCCCAACACATGATCTTAAGAACTAACATATTGTAGCATTCAGTCAATATTGAGAAGGCCGGAACTGATGGTTAATTATGTCATCAACCAAGGTAAGGGCTAGGCAAGAACAAAGAACCATGTTCATAATCATTTTCATCATCAACTATGAAGCATAGCTAACTACATTGGTACTTTTCCTTCTGTTTATAAAGTAGCATCCTCTTCCATAAACACTTTCAGCAATGTAAATATGCTTAATAATGTTACAAACCTATGTTCCTATTATCAATGAAGCTAGAAATGAGTTACTCTTTACAGTGGTTCATCTCCATTTTCTTTTAAGTAGCCTGCCTTCCTTCACCTTTTGTCAAAAAAGTTTTTGCTTTTGTACTTCCGTCTCACATTACTATTATTCCAGTTTACTAGCAAGTTACCAAAAGAAAGGCAAAGTTTTCCAAAATAAAAGCTTTTGAACTTAAACTGCAGGACCGCATTGCAGTTAACCTTTACCCTTCGCCCATCGTGTCCCACAAGGTTCTGTGCTGGGTCACCTATTCTTTCTCCTCTATCTGCTTCCTCTTCAGCACATCCTGAGCTCCTTCAAAGGAATCTCCTACCATCTTTATGCAGATGACATCCAACTGTACATCTCCTTTAAGCCCCAGCTGTTACACACCTGCTTGGACTCTATTAAAACCTGGATGGCTGGGAGCTTTCTTCAGCTGAATGAAGATAAGACTGAGATCCGAATCTGTGCCCCAGACAAGCTGGTTCCCAAAGTCAGAGACTCGCTTGGTCAGCTTGCTTCTCACACCAAACCTTCTGTCAGGAATCTTGGCGTGACCTTTGACCCAGCTCTCACCCTGGATTCTCACGCCAGTTCTCTTGTACACTCTTCCTTCTAGAAGACTACTGCAACTCTCTTTTCACGTGTCTGAGCAGAACCTCCCTGAACTGTCTACAGGTGGTTCAGAATGCCTGTGCTCGTCTTCTGACCAAGTCCTCCAAACACACCCACATCACCCCGCTTCTCCTCCAGCTTCACTGGCTGCCAGTCAACTTCAGGGTTCATTTCAAGATCCTGGTTCTGGTCTATAGGGCCTTACATGGACAAGTACCATCTTACATCAGTGATCTTCTTAGTCCCTACACCCCCAGCAGGTCCCTGAGGTCCAGTGACCAAAGCCTTCTGGGTTGTGCAGCACCAGGCTAAAGACCAAAGGTGACAGATCATTTGCTGCTGTGGCCCCCAGACTCTGGACCTCTCTCCCCCTGAGCCTGAGATCAGTGGACTCAGTGGTCTCCTTTAAAGAGCAGCAAAAAACTCACCTGTTCTGGCTGACTTTGTTGACCTTCATCACAACTCTCTCCTTATTCTGTTCTTATTCCACCTTTTCCGGGATCCATTGATTTCCCATTTACGATACACAGAATGAAAACTTTTGATGTTCATACAACTGATTAACCTGCCAACCCCATTCAAGATGGCTGCTACAGTCAACATATCTTGGCCTACAGAAAATGGCTGTAATTGTGTCAAGTATACACATACAAGCTTTGTCCAAATTCAGGGGAGGATTGGGCCTACCCAGTACATTGGCTGGGTCCTTCATGAGTTGGGAACTGGAAGTGAGCAGCTGTTAGCCTTTAGATTTATCTCCGCCTTTATCTCAGCGTATGTCTTCCTAGCAACTGTGATGGTCCTAAAAAAGCTAGTGACAATGGATGTTGAAATTTGCAGAGCTTTTTTCGTTACTGATCCGTGAGGAGCTACAGCAGCTTTACCACCACACGAGCTTATCACCACAGCCACACATCCTTTGTACTGCCAGATATCAATATGGTTACATTTAAAACTGCAATCCTCTTCTGCTTCATCCACTATAATTACAAGAACAAAAATCTCCTGTTCAGATCGCAATAAATCTTGGTATGGGGTAGACCATAGAGAAAACGCCAGACCGTCCATCAGATCCAGGAAAAAGAAGGATTCGTTTGTGAGCTAAATTTGGAGGAGCCTTCAATTTAGCCTTTGTTGCTTTGCTGTGGTGTAATACAATACTGTCATGACTCCATTATTGCTCATCTGTTAGAAATCTCCAGGGATGAGGTCCTGTCTCAAGTGGAGGAGTTTAAATTTCTTGGGGTCTTGTTCATGAGGGAAGGAAATCAGGAGATCGATAGGCGGATCGCTGAGTCTGCAGCGATCTGTCATGGTGGGGAGAGTTTATTTTTATTTTTATTTTTTAATTTATTGAGAACCTCATTAGCTCCCACCATAGTGTGGAGCAATTCTTCCTGAGGTCTCTTCCAATTTCATTACAAAACTGTAAACAGAAATCAAGTTAGTGTTGCAAAAGGGACTTTGCAAAGCACGAATTTGGTCTAGTTCACTAGGCAGTTGTTGGTTTAGCATCTAGAAAGCAACAGAGAACGCCTCGACTAGTAGAAACTAACAATTAGCATTAGCAACTATACCACTCAGGAGACAACACATCAACGTTGCAGAGCAAGCAGAGTCAGTGGCAGAGCCGCATTGCTGTTGGCCAATCAGAGGCGAAGTATCAGGAATTAAGACATCAAATCCTGCCGTCTGAAGCTCAACTCTGATGTGGCTCATTTCTGAAACGGGTGTTCCAAAGCTTTTTTCCCCCCAACGTCTATCTTACAAGGCATTCGTTCCTACTAGAGACCACGGCAGATGTATTAAAAATATGAGTAAAGTTAACCTTTAAGTTAATTACATTTCAAAAGTTATCCTGTCCTTTCTCTCTTTTTAACGTCCTCTCCTCTGTGTCTTTCAGGCCAAGTCATGCATCTGCCACATGTGCGGCACCCACCTCAACAGACTCCACTCCTGCCTCTACTGCGTCTTCTTCGCCTGCTTTGCCAAAAAACACATCCATGAACACGCAAAGAGCAAAAGGCATAACCTAGGTAGGGCACCCGTGTTGTGATGATACACAGTTAAAGACCGTCATTGCATCAAAAACAGTCTTATTCACCCCAGAGCTTGTTTTTGTACATTTATGTTTAATGAAGACATTAGTTCATGTATTCTGAGCCCATGGTGATACATTAGTGGTTTTTGAGGCCTTTTTAATCACACAGCTACAGGCTCTTATGCAAGCCAGTGCAACACAGACCAGAGGGCTCTGCCACCAGGGGGATTTAAATGCCACGTGTCTTTGGTCTCCCGTCGCTCATTGGGGGGAATGTATACATCGGTCACTGTATAAATGAGCTGTGACTTGTTGCTGATGAACAAGTGCATTTAATAGATTTGGTTTGATTTTTGGTCCTTTTAATACCAGCTTGTTCCGAGAAAAGCCAAAATGTAAAATGTTTAACTGCTTCAGGACTTGGAGTTGAGCTAGCTTTTCTGTTGTCAGGAACCGAATCACCTCAGCTCATATTTCTGCCTCATCCTGTCAGACTGGTCGGCTGGATATGGGAGTCGAGCTTGTAGAGAGCGTGGTTTCACAGACGCGGAAGTGATAGCGTCGGTGAAACGCCGGCTCACGGTTTAATCTAGGAGTCCCCGAGCGTTCGAGCATCAATGAAGAGACACGGAGATGCCGGGTTTTCCAGAAGTAAGTAAGAGCACTTACTGTGAGCGGATAGTTCGTAAGATGGATCCGTTGGTTGGAAACTCTGATCACGGATCTGAAGAAACGATGACTGAGTGGTGAGCTGGGGAGGCGACTTCCGTATATAGTCGCGGTTGGTGACGTAGGTGTGATGTGGAGGGATTCCCCGCGAGGAGCATGCTGGGAGTTGTGGTCCATGGTGGAGATCGGCTAGCTGGGAGAGGCTGGTTTGGGGACTTGGGTTCTGACACATCCTTGACATGTTTTCATAAAAACAAACTAAAGGACTTTATTTCCGCCCTCTGCATTAAATATTTGCATCAGACGTTACCCGGATGGCTCCAGATTGAAATGAACACATGGGTGTTTGCTGAACATCGTGGACAGTTTTTCTCTCCCACAGGAACAGAGCAGCCCTTAATCATCAAAACGTTCCTCAAAGTATTTAGAAAGTAGCTTATTTTTACCTGACTTCAGACACGACTTCATTCAGGTCCAAGGCTGGATGGCAGGAAGGAACTTCAGCCTTGAGATTTCAGACCCCATTTATGACATTTTTCATAGAAAGTCTTTCTGCAGGCTGCAGGAATGCTGTTCTGACCTCCGCGGTCCTCTCCTACTGTCTTCAGTTGTCAGCTGGAGAAGACTCCATCCCACTCTCATCTTTAAAGTGTGAATAACACCTACATCTATTTTTTTGCATTGATAACCTGTATAGATGAGTGTCTGGTAGTGCTGTAGACGTGTGTAATCATTATTTTGGTAGTTTAGTGCAACTTACTTTATATTTCAGCCCCAAACCGTAGTCGTGTCTCCATCTTCAGGTTAAAACTCCACATTGATTTAGAATCAGCCACAGCTGATGGCTGTAGGGCAGCAGGGCGACGTCAGTGCAGTGCTACTTGGCTGCACTGCACCGGACTCCTGTTGAGTCTCGCTGCACCTCCACCTGTCTCACCCACTTACCTGCTGATATGACACGCTGGCGCTCTGAGCCGCTGGCCTCCTTAAGAAAAACCCCTCCTTCCCTTTTTTCCAATGAAGGAGGTGAACAGGAAATCCTCCTTCCTCCGGTTTCTGTGTCTGCTCTTCTCCTGAGCGGTGAGTCTGCTGTTTGTGTGTGCTCAGGTACCCGTGGGGGGGGGGGCTGTAAATCATTGCTTCAGTGCGATTTACTCTGTCCTCCAGGTGACGTCCTTTTTCCAGGTATTTTTCAAACAAGAAGTCTGGTTGAAATAAGTCTTTGCCCATGGTGTTTCTCCCACTTTAACATAACAAATCCTCTTAGGATTATGAACATGTTATATCACGATTACTGAGGATATTAATCGCAGTGTTAAAGCAGTATGTGCATTACTTATTGAAATAATTGTGCAAATGCAGCATTAATGTCAGGTGTACTGTACATCTATCCACACATCTGCTTATCCGGGGGCAGCAGCCTAAGCCGAGAGGTCCAGACTTGCCTCTCCTGGGAAACCTCACCAGGGAGGCATCCTAATCAGATGCCCGAGCCACCTTAGCTGGCTCCTCTTGATGTGGAGGAGCAGCAGGTCTTCTACAAGCCCCTCCCAGATGATTGAGCTTTTCTCCCCATCTCTAAGGGAGAGCCCAGACACCCTGCAGAGAAAACTCATTTCAGCCGCTTGTATCCGTGATCTCATTCTTTCGGTCGTGACCGTAGGTGAATGACCCACACTTGTATAGTGCCTTTCAGAGCCCGAGGACTCCAAAGTGACTTACACTAGTGCGTATCATTCATTCGTTCGTTCGTTTGTTGATTCATTCATTCATTCGGGCTAGATAGCTCGCTCCTGTAGCATGCTGCGAACCATGGCAGCTCGCCTCCTACGGTACCGTCTAGACGCGCGACGGAGCGTTTCACACCGCTTCCGTGATTCCTTTATTAGCCATTGAGCTTCATCATCCAGGTCTCTGATGCGTCTTCGTGTGCACAGAATTATGCTTAACATAAGTCCGATCAGTGAGAGGAATTCTATCTCTTCGTCGGCCATGTTTGACTGAATAGCTTTGTTTGGGTAAATGACGCGTGTACGCCCGCCGCGCTATGTTTACGCAATATCCGGGTGCAGCCTTCCCACCCCCTCAGACATCTGGAACTTTTCCCTGCTGTGTGAAGGCAGCCGAAAGGACAAGTTCAGGTACAAAAGTGGTGTGTCTGAAATAGGGTTGTCACGGTGTGAAAATGTAACCTCACGGTTATTGTGACCAAAATTACCACGGTTTTCGGTATTATCGCGGTATTTTTTTTTTTACGTGCTACATTTTCACACAATGAAATAAACCCTGTATTTCAGGAAATATTGTCCTCAGTTTGTGTCTAAATTTTGCCTAAAATGTGTTATTTTGTAATTATGTTGTTTATTTGTTTACATTTTATCCCTTTAGTCTTTAAAATACAATATTTGCCCATAACTACTTATTTTTTGTCTGTTTGATGTCATCATTTTAAAAATATTAGATCAGATGATACTCAAGTAGCCTTCTAATCAGATACTTTTTACCCTTACTTGAGTAATAAACCCTATATCAGGAAAATGTCGTCCTCGGTTTGTGTCCTTCCAGTGAGCTTTGCAGATGTGGGAAAATGTCATCAGGCAGTAATCATTGTTAAATTCATAATTATTCTCGGAGAGAGACCAACTCTTATCTGCCCCTGGAAGCCCCGTAATGCATAGCGTCATTTCAACATGGCGGTGTCCGCGACACGGTTTATATGCAGGTAGCGGCGCTGCGGCTGCTTTATATAGCGACTCGTTGCATTCTCCCTCAACCCAAATCCTCGGATCACGCATTTTAGCTAAAACGCTAACGTTAGCTTGCCTTGCGTTGACTGTAGAGTTGTGGGTGATGGTCACGCAGATGTGTCATGAGATTTGAAGCGTTGCTGCCTTTCACAGACACTTTTTCTGCACGTGCTGCAAACAGGATAGCCGTCTTCTATCAACTGTCCCTCGGCATTCTTCAGATATCCAAAAAATGCCCGTACTTCCCACTTTGTCTTCTTTGAGGGATAATAAATGTCCTGAGCGCTGCCGTCTCCTCCTTTGGCCGTTATTTCAGCTTTAGCTTCAAGAAAGTTTTGGTTGTAAACAACAAAGTACGCATGTGCCGCCGGCAACTTCAGATGATGATACGGTGGCTGGTAAGGGTCACCGCGCCTACACCGCAGCCACGGTACCTAACTCTTGAAGCAGTTAACCACATATACTGCATACATTATTACTGTGATCCATACTGAAAACACGGTTATTAAACTCATCTGAGTGGGAAATGCTCTGCACTCGTGTCTCTTTTTCAAACAAAGACACATCAGTTAACATCCTCAACAACAAACCAGAGTTGGTTACAATCTGTTTCCTCTCCAAGCCTTTACTTAGCTGTATGTGTACCTTCACAAATATAATCTCTTTGCATCAGTAGTTTGTTTTCCGTCTTGAAATTGTATTCTAATTAAATGAAGCCTAAAATTTCCAGAGGTCACGTTTGTAAGTGAATGCAGTTACCGGTTTATGGTTTCTCTGGAAGCACAGACGTGCAAGAAGGGGGTTATCTATTGATCAGGTTACTAATCAATGGAGCTTAAATCCAAATGGAAATGCATTTTAGATGTATCGCACCACCAGAGGGAGAGAGAGAGCCGTGTGTGAAGGAAGCCTGCTGCTCTCAGGAAACATCTAGCATCATTTTGTTGTATATTTCATGAACAAAACCAGAACAGGTTTGAGAGGGGTTGCTAAAATGACAGTGTGTTTTCTTCTACCCACGACAGCCCCCTGTTGGTGAGACAACTGTGTCACCAGCTTCAGTTATTCTCCTCCTAACAGAATTAGGCAGTTTGGAGGTGTGAGTGAAGGTGATGCAGCCACTGGAGGAGAGCGCTGCAGCAGCAAAAGCCTGACTTTGGCAGATGTTGAGAATCTACAGTCTGGCTTTTTGAAGCTTTTTTCCTCACCGTGTTATCGCTCTGCTCAGAAAAGCTCCCCACGGTGTGCAGGCGTGCATTTCCCACAGAGTGTGATTGTGAGTTTAATTAGGTTAGCTCCTGAATTAAATGCTGCAATAATGGAGTGAGAAAAGGTCCAACGCAGATGCAGAAAAGATTAGAAAGACGGGGCAGATCTCAGCGGACTGGCGAGGAGGTAATTAAGTGGTCTTTATCAAACCCAGAGGAATTAGCCTGCATTTAATAACCTCCTCTTTCTCTTCCGCCTTTTGTTTTTATGTATTTTCACCCAGTCGTTCCACATATTCAGTTTTCCATCTCGCAGAAGCTCATCCCTGTTTTCCCCTCCTGTTGTTTCCATGGTTACCCGATAACCCAATCAATACTCAGAATACTTGAAGGTTTTTTTTATAACTGATCCTTTTTTTCTTTCTCATTTCTCTCCACAGTCCATCAGTTAAATTCCTTTTTCGTTTCCTTTATTCTCATCTTCGTTTGTCTTTTTTTCCCCCTTCAAACCTGCAGAGAATGACGACCAAAGGAGGCCCACAGGCAGGTTGTTATGGTAACATCAAACCAGTTGCTGCAGGGCACAGAGCAGGTGATGGGAGAGCCGTTTTTATCCGTGCATCAACGCTTAAGTCTGTGTGTGACAATGCTGCACAGATAGGGCCCTACATTGGCTGCCGGTTAAGATCCTCCTTCTCACATATTGTTCCATACGTTCCTAACCGAGCACTTCACTCTCAGACTGCAGGTTTACTGGTGGTTCCCAGAATATCTAAAAATAGGATGGGAGGCAGATCTTTTAGTTATCAGGCTCCTCTCTTGTGGAACCAACTCCCAGCTTTAGTCCGTGAGGCAGACACCTTGTTTGAAAGCAGTCAGTGACTTGATGCAATTTGCTGGGTTCCTTATATAGGAAACTTTTGTCTGATTGGCTTAATGAACCGACCTGAATTGGAATGTTTATTATGTGAAGTGACTTGTTGTGATTTGGTGCTATGTAAATAAACTTGACCTTGAATAGTTGCCTCCCTCCACAGCTTCACTCCCCCACCTCTTATCTAAAACCTCAGCAGAAATATTCAACCTACCCAGTACAGGAGCACCAGAGAATATTTTACTGTGATTATTGTGAAGGAATTTTACACAAATATTGACATAAAAATATTTTTAAATGTGCAAAAAGACTCTTGTAGTGTATTAGTTTGTTACAGCTGATGCTATCAGGAGACTAAAGATAGTCGTTTGAATTGTTAAAGGGATACTTTGCAACCGTTTCATATTTTTCAGTCATTTTCTTGAGCCAGTGTGTGTTAAAATGGCCCTTTACAGGGTTGATGAAAGGCCAGTCAGATCACCCCTCCCCATGTGACTAGAATAAAGCTCTTTCGACTTCAGACTGGTGGGCCGCTCTGTTGGGAAACATGGAGCTGACATACCTGGTGCTGCAGTTTGCTTCCAGCACATTTCCTGCATGTTCTAGTTCACGAACACATCTGATTTGTTTAATTTAGTGATGAATCGCTCCTGTAGACACTAATGAAGGCTGGAAAGACGTTTCAGCTGTTAGATTAAGGTGATAAAAAAAGAGGAAAGGGCTGCGAGGAGATATCTAACAGACACTAGAGCGTGCCAAAAGTCTCCATTTAAACCCGTGACTGTCTCAACACTAGCTGGCGTCACTAATAAACAAAACCTGCATAGAAGTCCTGGTGAGTTCCAGCAGTTATTCTGAAGACATTTTATTTTTATTCGTGGTTTTTAGTTGTCGACGGTTACAATACTAGCTTACTGCCTATGTGTGTATCCATGTACCTTTGTTATTATTTTTTCTTCAAATCAAGTGTTGGTGTTGCTGTAACAAGTGAATTTCCCCACTGTGGGAACAATAAGGTCTATTCTAGCTCATCGTTAGAGGATCTTCTCTTCCTGCTTGGATGTTTTGCACATTTGGCGGATCAGTTTTTGTTTCAAGGTGTCATCAGGTCCAAACATCACCAGGATGTTTGGAGATTATTGATGAGTTTTGCTTCCCAGCACAAACAGTGTGGCATCCGGTCTCATTTCCAGATGCCTTGACACCAGTTTGCAAAGTCATGTGTTCATAGCATGCCTCCTTTTAACCAGCTAGTAGGTCACTGTTGCAACTGTTGGCAAGTTGCAAAATATTTCCAAAATATCTCAAACATTCCCCAAAGTTTCACATTTCTTCTCAATAATCAGTCATTTGGAGCACCTGAGATGGAAAAGTTGTGACTAAAGTGAGAGTCAATGATTGTAACAGGAACATTTGCACAGCATACTCGGGTAGTTGGTGCTATTTTGCAACATATGGGCAATAACCAAGATAAAAGTAGAATGCATGTCTTTGAAAAACGACTATCAATAATGCACGGATGGCCAGAGGAACCAACAAGTCTAATGGACTTGACTCGGCTTTGGAGAAGAGAAGCCCGGGAACTCACCATAACGGGTTGAGAAGAACCAACCTGGATGAGATCATGAACCCACTGTGACCTGAGAGCAAGCTGACGGCTGTGGTGTACCAATTTAGTTGTTCCTCTTTTCCTGCAGTTCTGCGGCTTCAACGAGTGTTCAAAAGCCTCAGCTGAGTGCCTCACTGGCCCATTTCCTCACCGTCAGAACAAGTGCTGTTGGTTTTAAATACGACATCACAGACCGACCACTGAAAACGTGTGATCTGGTGGTTTGTTTTATTGTGTTGCTTTCAACATTCTCCATCTTGGTCACTGACATCTAAATCTAATTCAACTAATGTGCTGTGGAATTGATATCGTGCACATTGAGATCATTAACGCGATGCGTTTTTGAGGTGGTCACGCTCCCCTGTGTGTGTCTGCTCAGCTATCGACCTGCTGTACGGGGGGATCTACTGCTTCATGTGCCAGGACTACATTTATGACAAAGAGATGGAACAGATTGCCAAAGAGGAACAAAGGAAAGCCTGGAAGATGCAAGGTACAGCAACTCAGAACACGACACACGACAAGCCTCCCTCTGAGCTGAACCCAAATGGTAATTTCACAGTCACACTGTTCCTAAAAGGGAGTTTATAACACGTTTTTTCATGTATAAGCTGTGTTTGCATCTATCATTCACACACAAATCACATTTTTGTTGGTAAAAATGATTTTTGGAAATGTTTTCAGAGGATCGCCGACGGTGTGAAACACTGAAAACCCCTTTTTCAGCCACCTTGACTCGCGACGGGGACGGTTGTTGCTGTTGTAGCATTTAGGAAACAGCAGAGAACTTCTCACCTAGTAGAAGCTAACCGTTAGCATTAGCAACTCCACCAGGCTTGTGTTATATGCGAAGAAAAAACATCAACGTTACAGAGCAGAGTCAGTGGTAGAGTCATGAATGGTAAATGGCCCGTATTTGATATAGCTCCTTCCAGAGTCCTGGAACCCCCCAAGGCGCTTTACAACACAATCAGTCATTCATCCATTCACACACATTCACACACATTCACACACTGGTGGGGATGAGCTACGATGTAGCCACAGCTGCCCTGGGGCGCACTGACAGAGGCGAGGCTGCCGAGCACTGGCGCCACCGGTCCCTCCGACCACCACCAGCAGGCAACGTGGGTTAAGTGTCTTGCCCAAGGACACAACGACAGCGACAGACTGAGCGGGGCTCGAACCTGCAACCTTCTGATTATGGAGCGAGCACTTAACTCCTGTGCCACCGCCGCCCCAATGAGACGTTGGCCAATCAGAGGTGAGATGTCCAAATATCCAGACTCCAAATCTAAAGCGGCTTCCTGCTCCAGCAGACGTGTACTTCCTGAAACACATTCCTATAGAGAGCATAGCAACAGATGAAGCTGAAGCTAATTTCTCCCAAGGTTATTTGAATGTTTTCCACTGTTTGACTCACTTTACCCGGACCCTTTCACTGTCAAGTATCAGCTGTGTGGCGAGAGGACAAAAAGCCAGTCTCGTCGCCTGATTCAGAATTTAAATCTTGTATTTTTAATCATCTCGTTCATTTCTCTCTTGTCGTTGGTCACCAGTTAGCTTGGCATGATTATTTTACCTGTTCCTGTCGACGCAGACTTTTAACCAAACGGAGACAAACACGTTACGTTTTCACCACAACATTCAGTAAAGCGTCATCATAAAAGTAAGAATGCAGCAGTTTGAGCCCATTCTCAGTCTCCATCTCTGGTGACGAGCATACCACCGCGTCCCTTTTCTATTTCACCCCCTAGTCTGACCTTTGGCACCGTCAACACCAACTTGATTTAAATAAAAAGCAGAGACGTGGTACAGAGACACACGTCTGGACCCTTGAAAACCACCCTGGTGATGATCAGCAGAGTCAGGAAGGTCGTGTGAATTTCTCCGGAGCCGATTGGCTGACACAGACTTTAATAGCGGACCAATCAAGGCTCAGGCCACCTCATTACCATACCCACAGGGGCAAAAAATAAATGTGTAACTGCGTTTATCATGTGAAAAAATAAGCAAATGTGGAATAAATCATTATATTATAATTCTAGTTTATAATATATATTTATTTAGAATTTTATTTTCTCATTTATTCATCTGTTGTGAAATGTGGCGGGGTTCTTCACACAACACAGGAGGGAGGAGTTGGTTCCATCCTTACACCACAGACCCTTACTGTTTGCCTCCTTCTTCAGTTTCTTAACCTGGCTTTTAAAATCTCATTTCTTCAAACAAAGTGGTGTGAATACATTACAGCTGAACTCTGTAACTAAACAAAAACCTAAAGATGCAAATTTCCAAGTGCTGGACTTTGATTTTGATTCCTGCGTAGGCATCGGGGAGAAGTACTCCACATGGGAGCCCACCAAGAAGGAGCTGGAGCTGCTTCGCCACAACCCCAAGAGGAGGAGAATCACCTCCAACTGTACAATCGGTTGGTCTTTCCTTCGCAGCCGCTCGTGTTCTTTATGTCGCTCAGTTCCAGCGGTTAGTTGCGACTGACCGCTGGAGCAAAAGTCCTGAATAATGAGCGGTTAGAGCTCACGGCTGATGGATAATCTGAGCTAGCAGAACTATAAATATACTGTAGCAGTGAAGCGCTGGAGTCATGCGGCGGTGCGTGGCTGTGAGGGTGCTGGCTAACACCCTGTAGCAGTGATCTACCTAGCATTGCTCGTCACTGGCCCTCTGACACACGAGGAGGTTTACTGGAGCTGGCTGCTCCTTCTGGCTATCAGAAGGGTTGAGTTTACCCAAACCCTCCGGGAAGGGGCTCTGGTCCAGAACCGTCTCCTCTTTACTGGTAAAAGCCCTGATTCTGGTTTTCAGAGCTGCTTTCCAAATGGTGTCCAGCTCTGATAAAACTAACGACTAAACAAAGATCTCCCACACTGGAAGTGAGTACGCCATGTCGTTGATCAGGTGAGTTAGCGGTTGGTTCTTGGACAAGGAAAAATGTCGGGTTATATATTTTTGTTGCTGTTTGGCAACGGTGCGTTCATAGACTAGAAAAAAGTCAGATTTTTGAGTATTGATTGATTTCAATGGCCAGCTTTTGTTAAAGCCCCTCTCGTCCTGCTGGTCTGTCTTTTTCCAGCTTTGAATCTTCTGTAATGGTGGCTTTTCCTCCCTCTCCTTCTCCAGGTCTGCGTGGTCTTATAAACCTGGGCAACACCTGTTTTATGAACTGCATCGTCCAGGCGCTGACGCACACTCCACTGCTGCGCGACTTCTTCCTGTCTGACCGTCACAAGTGTGAGATGCAGAGCAACTCTTGTCTGGTGTGTGAGATGTCCCAACTCTTCCAGGAGGTGACCATCTGATTCTTCTTTTCTTTTGAAAAAGTTAGAGCTCTCCTCCCTCCCTCTCTCTCACGGGCTTTTCTTCCTCAGTTCTACTCAGGCCACCGCTCGCCTCACGTTCCTTTCCGACTCTTGCACCTGGTGTGGACCCACGCCCGTCACCTGGCTGGCTATGAGCAGCAGGACGCCCACGAGTTCCTCATCGCTGCTCTGGACGTTCTGCACCGGCACTGCAAAGGTAGAAACTCAGGACAGAACATGGAAAAACCAGAGGAGGAGAGAAATGACATGACAGCTTCTCTCGTCCTCCTAGATGTTTCTGTCGGTCTAAAAGCCGAGTAGGTGGTCAAAATGTTACACAGGATGGCTTTTAGTGGTGTGTGTGTGCGTGTGTGTGTGTGTGTGTGTGTGTGTGCGTGTGTGTGTGTGTGTGTGTCCACACAGATGACAACGGGAAGAAAGCCAACAACCCAAACCACTGTAACTGCATCATTGACCAAATCTTCACAGGGGGCCTGCAGTCTGACGTCACCTGCCAAGTCTGCCAGTAAGTGTGTGTGTGTGTGTGTGTGTGCGCATGTGATATCACTCACATTTCCTCATTACAGACAGGAGAAGTTAAAGACAAACGCTGTGACCTTGTAGAGGAGGTAAACTCTTACTCACAAACCACAGATGTTCTCCCAGAGCTGCTCCACTGCAGCAACAAGCCTCTCCTGTCTGTAAAGTAGACCTCTAGCACCACCTGGTGGATTTAACGAGACTATTGGTGCTCTGGAGTAGATTGCCACCTCTGCTTTATCCCTGTGTTCACACTAAAACGGGTATTTAATTCCAGGCCGGAAGGGCTGGTGTTCAGCACGTTTTATGGCTGCTCTGCTGTAACACACTCGATTCAGTGGTTGAATCCCCTGGGTAGCAGCTCATCAGGCTTTGCAGAAACCTACTGGTTGAAGGTTTGGCCGTCTGGTTTATGGAGCAGAAGGAAACCATTCAACACTGATAGCTAATTTCTTACAGTCACGGGTCAAAGGGAGGGGTTTTCCATGGTGGTTGGATGAAAGCACATGAATCAATGAAGTGTAGAAACAGTGAGCATCTAACGTGTAAAAGATAGACACTATTTTTGAACTCCCATAAAGGTCTCCACATTTGTTTACAGCGCAGAAATCAACATCACTCACATCCTTTACAGGTGCCCCGTTTGTTAGGAGGACGTGTTTGTCATGGTTCAAATCGCGGGGGAGCTAAGGGGAGCTCGGCTCCCCTGAAAGGGTGATGGACCCCCCTGGAAGTCCTCAACTTACATAGCCAGGAGGAGCCCGTATAAGGATCCAGTTTTAACCTACATTACATTATTTATGTGAACTCTCAGCGTACCGGGGATTCTGGTACTTTCTGCACGACGGGCTCTGCTTCCGCGGAGCTCATCGCCGGGTGACTTCACATCACTGGAGTGGCCGCGCAGCATGCACTGCTATTTTTGCGGTCTGTAGATCCCTCTGATCTGCCTAGTTCAAAATGAACTCATGAGGAGAAAAAGTGGGAAGCCAGGCAGCAGTTTTTCTGGAGCATTGAGAGGAGATGCAGGAAGATCAGAGACAGACAGGACAGGAAAATGTAGGTAGATGTGTCCCGCTACACGTTTTTACCTTTCTAAAGCAATATTTTATCATCATGTAAAATTTATATATTTGATACAATTCAGATCACCATCAAATCTCAGCCCCATGGCCAGGGCTGTTTCAAGGCATTTTGGGGCACCAGCCCACCCCACCGGTCTCACTGTGCTCCCCCCGGAAGCCTTGGTGTAGCTCACACCCTGATGTCTGTCAGTAACTAACCAGGTTATTAGTGGATTCACCCACACCCAGACCTGTAGAAGTAAGAAATCATCTGTCTAACAACATGAACTAGGCTAAAAGATCTCCAAAAGTAACACATCATGGCCCATTCTAGATGACCCCCCCCCCCCCCCCCCCCCCCCCCGTATAGCACCTTTCTGAGTCAGAGGACTCCAAAGTGCTTTACACACTGGTGGTGATGCACTACATCGTAGCCACAGCTGGGGCGCACTGACAGAGGTGAGGCTACGGAGCATTGGCACCACCGGTCCCGCCGACCACCACCAGCAGGCAAAGGGAGTTAACGGTCTTGCCCAAGGACACAACAGCAGAATTCTCTGCCGGGAGCCGGGATCGAACCTACAACCTTCTGATTACTGGACAACCCGCTCTTCCTCCCGAGCTGCTGCTGCCCTGATATCTACAGTCACACGAGGAGCTGAAGCTCTTCGCTCTGCTTTCGTTGAGCTTTATTTAGAGTTAAATACCATGTCAGGCTAAAGCAGGCTTGTTATTACTCTTAGAGGCACCGATGCCTCATCCTGACACTTTGTCCTCCTCTGTCGTCATCTTAGTGGCGTTTCAACAACCATAGACCCGTTCTGGGACATCAGCCTGGACCTGCCGGGTTCTTCCACACCGTTCTGGCCCCTCAGCCCGGGTGGAGAAGTGTCGGTTCTTAACGGAGAGAGTCACTCCACTGGAGCCACCACGCTCATGGACTGTCTGCGCAGGTAGCTGAGCACAACGCCCCTGACTCCAGAGGGATTGTTCCTATTCTGTCTTCGTCGTTCCGGACCTGAAGCTCCTACCCTTACCTGTACAGGTTCACCAGACCAGAACACCTCGGCAGCAGCGCCAAGATCAAGTGCAGTGGTTGCCATAGTTACCAGGAGTCCACCAAGCAGCTGACCATGAAGAAGCTGCCCATCGTGGCCTGCTTTCACCTCAAGGTACCAGTTATCTGGGACTAGTCAACCCGCTGCTCCTTGCTCGCTCACACACTCTCTCTTTCTCCCTTTCTCCCTCTCTCCCCCTCTCCATCCCTCTCTCCCTCTCGCGCCATCTCTCGTTCCATCTCTCTCCCCTCCCTCCCTCAACCCTCCCTCTCTCTCCCTCCCCCTCTCTCTCTCTCCCTCTCCATCCCCCCTCTCTCTCTCCCTCCCCCCTCTCTCCCTCCCCCTCTCTCTCTCTCCCTCTCCATCCCCCCTCTCTCTCTCCCTCCCCCCTCTCTCCCTCTCCATCACTCTCTCCCCCCCTCTCTCTCTCCCTCCCCCCTCTCTCCCTCTCCATCACTCTCTCCCCCCCCCTCTCTTTCTCTCTCTCCCCCTCTCCATCACTCTCTCCCTCTCTTTCTCTCTCGCTCCATCTCTCTCCTCCTCCCTCCCTCCACCTCTCTTTATATGCCCCTCTCTCTCTCCCCCTTTCCATCTCTCTCCCTCTCTTTCCCCTCCCTCCCTCAACACCCCCCCCCCCCCTCTCTCTCTCTCCTCCCTCTCTGTGTGTTTAGAGGTTTGAACATTCAGCCAAACTTCGGCGGAAGATCACCACCTACGTGTCCTTCCCTCTGGAGCTGGACATGACCCCCTTCATGGCATCCAGGTGAGCTGATCCCAGATCAGAATGAGAAGTTAGACTGGTGTGTCTGCATCACAAGAGCGTGAGCTCCGTGTTTGGTAGTGTGGCAGAAGGCTGGAGGTGGGAGGTGTGTACAGATGTTGCTCCAGGCCGAAGCACCCATTGGTATGTTTGTGTTTCAGTAAGGAGAGCAGGATGAATGGACAGTACCAGCAGACCGTGGACCCGTTCAACAATGACAACAAGTAAGATGAACACAGAAAAGTGGTTGGTTTCAGCATTTGTGGACTTTGAAGTGTTCTGGGGACCAGGAGGAGTGTTGGTGTCAAAGGTCACAGCGGTGAGCCACAGCTGCCCTCAGACTACATACAAAAGAAACACCCTCTACACACTCGTAAACCCGGTCCTCTGCACTTTTTATTTTGATTAGAGATCGAAATGTTTTCAAGGATCTAAAGAAGCTTCACCGATCCTGACACGAGACCACCTGATGAACGTAGATCCAGGGTTTTTCCTGGTACCATCCTGACCGTGCGCCAGCACGTGCATACTCTGCATTCAGCTGCCTCGCTTTTTTAAAGGCCAGTTATTATAAAGGCTCAATAACATGCATTAGATTGGTGTTTAGTCCCTTTTTCCCATCTGATATTTATAGTTAGAATATTTTATATATCTGACCTAAATTTCAGTAACATTCTAGGTTTGTATTAATAACACTCATCTTAGTCACAATAACACATAAATATATCCAGTAACATATAATGCATGTCATTAACATGCATTTGTGTATGAAATGGTAATAACATTTAATTTCTGCTGCTACAGTGTAACGGGTTAGGGTTAGGGGGGTTAGGGCCCCCCAAAATGTCTTGAAACGGCCCTGGTTGAGTGAGTTTTGAAGGTGATCTGCAGAAGTATAAATATTACATGTGTATAACTTATTGTTGTACAGGTGTAAAGAGGGTAAATATTGTTACTTTTATTACCTTTACTTATGACCAATAAGGTGTGATATTCTCTATAAATACAGAGTATCACTCTGATTGGTCTCTGATGTTTCATCAGAAGAATTAGGGTTCGTTGCTTTTTCAGTGATCAAGTCAGACAGAGTCAAGTTTATAAAAAGTAAGAAATTTATTTTCTAAACAAATGAAAAACAAGACAAGTTATAAATAAGACGAGTGTGATGTATGATGTTTGAATGGTGTGTGTTTATCAGGACCTTGTATCTAGAAGAAACGGAGTTCTGGGTGTGAAAATAATTTGGTCCGCATTAAACTAAGTGATAGTTTATAAAACGGCATTCATGACGTGCCTACGTACCCGTTCTGGAGACCCCGTTTGGATCCGAGATGTCGAGGAGTCGGTGACCCCACTGCGCGTGGCTCGTAGGAAAACCTCGATGCGACCAAGTCAGTCCTAGGATGTCGCCCGAGTCACAACAGATAGATGAAATCGTTTGCGTCTAGAACAGCTGTTTCTGAACAGCTGAAGGAGCAAGTTTCTGTGTCGCCTCAGGCAGCTTTTGGCCTGTCAAAAGCTTTGATGGTTCAAAGTCCCTTCAGGATTGGCCACTCTGAAGTGTACTTGAACCGAACTGAGCTTGAGCTGAATCAGTCAGGAAGTGAGTTCTGTTTTAATTATTCTCATATTATGATTGTATGGCCAATCAGGACTCGACATGTAAAGAGGTGTTAACAAACGGCGCTCAGAGCCACACCTCTCCCAGATACAGGATGCTCTGATTTGTGCATAATAAAATATCTGTGTGTCATAAAATTACTTTAACCTTGTGTTTGAGTGTGTGCATGATTAACTAGCTCGTCATGTAGACTATCAGACACACGGATCATTGCAGGACAATATTCATTTCAACCATATTAACTTAGGCACAGATTAATCAAAACATTTCATTTAACCATATTGTTCATTTCATTTCATGATTTATTAACTCATCATATGAGCTGAAAATGTTCACTTTTATTCAGAGGCAGGAGGAATGCTGTAGAAGCAATAAGGGGAAGCTTAAGGCCTTGAAACGGGGACAGTGTATTCAAAGCTTCTGAGGTCTGGACTCCAGGTGAAGGAGTAGCAGGATCCGGCAGATTCTGCCTGGATTCTTACTTTTTCACCTCATCAGTTACTTTTGAGCAGATCAAAGGGATCTCCTGACCGCAAAGCGGAGAGCACGCTGATGCTGCGTCAGTGAGGTGAAATCACCGCAGCAGACAGAGTACCAGAGGATATGAACAGATATGAACGATCATGTGTTAATAATAAGGTTTGGTTGCGCCACCTTGAGAATGTATCGTGCTCCGGGCGCAGCGGGCGCACCGACGATCAGCGCTCTGCGTCCTCTCCGCTCAACAGAACCCCGCTACGCTGAGAGTCCATAAATATTATAAAATAGGCAGAAACTGGATCTTTCCCTGAAAGATATCTAGCCCCATTACTCGAAAGTGGGCGTTTCTGGGGCAAAGAGGACATATGGTCAGCCTACAATAGCACCAACCACAGATATGTACCAACTAACGAGAAAAGCTAATTTTGTTCTTGTTCTGCAGCGGTTTTAGCGCTTTTCGGTGCCCCGCTGCTGATACAGCGCCCCTAGTGGCGCAACACTGCAACTGTAGTTACAATAACATCCATATAGCCGGGGGCAGAGTGAGATCAGACTGGGGCAGCACAAAAATACAGGTGCTGGCCAGTAAATTAGAATATCATCAAAAGGTTGAAAATATTTCAGTAATTCCATTCAAAACGTGAAACTTGTACATTATATTCATGCAATGCACACAGACCAATGTATTTCCAATGTTCATTACATTTAAATTTGATATTCATAAGTGACAACTAATGAAAACTCCAAATTTGGTATCTCAAAAAATTAGAATATTCTGAAAAGGCTGAATATAGAAGACACCTGCTGCCACTCTAATCAGCTGATTTACTCAAAACACCTGCAAAGGCCTTTAAAAGGTCCCTCAGTCTTGTTTTGAAGGCACAACAATCATGGGGAAGACTTCTGACTTAACAGCTGTCCAAAAGACAATCATTGACACCTTGCACAAGGAGGGCAAGACACAAAAGGTGATTGCTAAAGAAGCTGGCTGTTCGCAGAGCTCTGTGTCCAAGCACATTAACAGACAGGCGAAGGGACGGAAAAAATGTGGTAGAAAAAAGTGTACAAGCTCTAGGGATAACCGCACCCTGCAGAGAATTGTGACGACAAACCCATTCAAAAATGTGGGGGAGATCCACAAAGAGTGGACTGCAGCTGGAGTCAGCGCTTCAAGAACCACCACGAGGAGACTCATGAAAGACATGGGATTCAGGTGTCGCATTCCGTGTGTCAAGCCACTCTTGAACAAGAAACAGCGCAAGAAGCGTCTCGCCTGGGCCAAGGACAAAAAGGACTGGACTGATGCTGAGTGGTCCAAAGTTATGTTTTCTGATGAAAGCAAGTTCTGCATTTCCTTTGGAAATCAAGGACCCAGAGTCTGGAGGAAGAGCGGAGAAGCACAGAATCCACGTTGCATGAGGTCCAGTGTAAAGTTTCCACCGTCAGTGATGGTGTGGGGTGCCATGTCATCTGCCGGTGTTGGCCCACTCTGTTTCCTGAGGTCCAGGGTCAATGCAGCCGTCTACCAGGAAGTTTTAGAGCACTTCATGCTTCCTGCTGCTGACCAACTTTATGGGGATGCAGACTTCACCTTTCAACAGGACTTGGCACCTGCACACAGTGCCAAAACCACCAGCACCTGGTTCAAGGACCATGGTATCCCTGTCCTTGATTGGCCAGCAAACTCGCCTGACCTTAACCCCATAGAAAATCTATGGGGTATTGTGAAGCGGAGGATGCAATACGCTAGACCCAACAATGCAGAGGAGCTGAAGACGACTATCAGAGCAACCTGGGCTCTCATAACACCTGAGCAGTGCCACAGACTGATCGAGTCCATGCCACGCCGCATTACTGCAGTTATTGAGGCAAAAGGAGCCCCGACTAAGTATTGAGTGCTATACATGCACATTCTTTTCATGTTCATTCTTTTCAGTTGGCCAACATTAGAGAAACAAACATTTTTTCATTGGCCTTTAGAATATTCTAATTTTCTGAGATACCAGATTTGATGTTTTCATTGGTTGTCACCTATAAATATCAAAATTAAACGTAATAAACATCGGAAATACATTGGTCTGTGTGCATTGCATGAATATAATGTACAAGTTTCACGTTTTGAATGGAATTACTGAAATATTTTCAACCTTTTGATGATATTCTAATTTACTGGCCAGCACCTGTAGCTGTAGCAGGCCGCCACGCAAATTTGAACGCAGGGAAAACCCTGAGAACCTCATTTACTCCCAACGTCTCAACACTCCTCAGGTCTTGGGTTTGTTCGTGTGTTCGGTCAGACAATAACAATCATTAGTTATCACGCAGAGGTTAAAGCAGCTGTTGTGGGAATGTGCTGTAGAAACCCTAACCCTGATGTGATCCGCTGGGGGCTCCTTTGTGTTTCAGGTACAGTTTGTTTGCTGTGGTGAACCACCAGGGGACGCTAGAGAGCGGCCATTACACCACCTTCATCCGGCAGCACAAGGACCAGTGGTTCAAGTGCGATGACGCCATCATCACCAAGGCTAGCATCAAGGACGTGCTGGACAGCGAAGGGTGAGTGGCTCTGGCTCCTGCAGCAGCGAGTCTCTCGTTAGCACCACTCGCCTCTCATTCTCAGCTCCCTCCTCCCTCAGGTACCTCCTGTTTTACCACAAGCAGTTCCTGGAATACGAATAGCTGCATGGAAGGGAGAGAGACGGAGTGCTGAACCAGTCCCAGCGTCTGCTGCGCAGGGCAAAGACAGAAGAGACTGGTGTCTCCACTAAGGTCCTCACTTGAATTCAGGGCATGAAGAGGAAAGAAGCTGTGAAAGTTTGCACTCGTTCCAGATGATTTTGTTATCAGGCACAGGTCGGACGCGTGACTTGATCCCAAATGCTGTTTGCTTTTTTCTACCCCCTCCTCGCTTCGTGCACAGCTGCATTCATCCACAGCAGAGGTGCGACGAGCCACCCAACCTGCACGGATTCTAACCGCCAACTTCCTAAACAAGACGTTTAGTCGGAAACACTCCACCAGACCAAATACGGAAGTTGTCTTTAATCATGCCTTTGAGTTGTTGTGAGGACAGACGTTTGTTTCTGCGGATTATTGTGAGCTTGTTGTTTGGAGTCGGTACTGTTAGCAAAAGGACACGCGTCTCACACCAGGACACGAAGGACGCTTTCTTTTATTTAACTATTTCATTTCTGCCTCCGCCAGCTTCCGACGCCTGAACGAGCGGACAAAGATTTAACTCAGTGAATATATTTTTATACATCTTGCATCGAAATGGTTTGTTTACAGTTTATTTTGTGTTCTGATACTCTCACATCGTGTTGAAATCGTGCCGTCGGTCGTGTTTTTGTCAACGAAAAGGTAAAAATTACTGATCATTTTGTGAAATTGCTGCTATGGCTGTTGTTTGTTTGTTTTTACATTATGAAGCTTTCTTTTCAAAGACACTTTTTCCACCTTTAAAAGTCATGAAGCTGTTTCAGGTAAACAGGTTAAAAAATGAGGAAAAACGACTCAGAAGCTGCAGTGTTGCTCTGATTGGGTGTGTGTGTGTGTGTCGAAGACGGGAAGACAAAAGGTGACAGTAGGTGTATAAAATGTTGTTATAAGGTGTGTGTGAGTGTGTGGTTGTATGCACGTGTGTCGTGCGTATGCAGTGTGTTTGTGTACTGAATCAGTACTTGCATCAGCATGCCGTCTGAGCTGGGAATCACAGTATGATATGTTTGTTTTCCACGTGTTGATGACGTTTGTGTACAGTTTGTATGTATGAGACAAACTACACCTGCGGAGTCCAGCTGCGGGACCGCAACGATGACCTCAGCTGGTCGACCATTCCTCGCACACACTCTGCTGTTACCACTGCAAGAACTGGACACTGATGGAAGTACACTCAAATAAAAGAAAATCTGTGAAAAAAACTCAGTATTCAGGTCTTTTTATTCAACTTGGGGTGACACGACGTTTGGAGACGCACATTGCCGTGACGTCCACTCGAGGGCTCCGTCTGCAGCAGTTTTTTTCTAAATCAACAGACCACAAGCCAGAGATGATTAGATTAGGCATAAATCAAACATCACTGTGCCAGAGGAAGGCCACTTTTAGCCATTGTAGGGTTAAATACGGTGATGCCGGTGTTCTGTGATAGCTGAATCAATTCATTTTTTAGAGGCAAAGTGGATGCTGAAATCAAAGTTTGCTGTGGAAAAAAGTTCAAGATGTTAATCTTATGAGCAAAAGATAGAGAAAACTTGATAAATTAAATTTGAGTAATGTCCACCTACTCTGTCTTTAAGGGATTTATATGTTTTACTCAGGTCAGCAGGATGGAAACGCCAGGAGTAAATCCTTACATTTAGAGAGCTAGGATTTTTCCGCCCTCTAGTGGACAGAAGCTGGTACAACACTAGGTTTAATGAGTGGTTTCTGTAAATTCCTTCAAAATAAAACACACCGTTTAAAGTGTTCTACGATTTTTAGGTTGGGTTAGGGTTAGCGTAGTTAGCATAACAGCATAGTTAGTGTAGTTATCGGGAAAGCCAGAACGTGTTCACAAATTACTGCATCTAAAAAAACAATATTTTCATTTATATTAACAAATCAAGCAGGAAGTTTCAGTAGCTAGCTACAACAATACAAACAGATCTTACGCCCTCTGGCGGCTGGAGGACGAAACAAAACTGTGGTTTGGTAATAAAATTAATATATTTTATTGCAAATTTTTAACAGCATAAGTTAATTTCTAACATGTCCGAGATAAAAATGAGTTATTAGTTCAAGACTAATAAATACCCATCTAATGAACACACACACACAGACATTCAAACATACAGAAAACATATTTTATTCAACGGTACATTTTTGTTTATTTAAACAGGACAAGCAAGAATACATTTGAATTTCACAATAATTGTGTAAACTACTCTAAGTAAAAAGGAAACAAAAGTAACTAGAGATGCAGGTGTTTTTACGAGTTGCTCTTTGTCTAAATAAACGTTTAATTTATTTCCACTGCTTGGTCCTTTTCTAAACACAGCATAGTAAAGATTCAACATTTTGTGGCTAACACTGTAGCCTTGTTGGTGGTGTCACTGAAGTAAATCAACTCTGTCATGATATTCTAAATGTATAATCAGCACCTGTACAATACTGTGAGTCTAGAATATTGAACCTCTTCAAAGTGTCACTCTAATCAGCTAATGAATCCGTAACGCCTGCAAAGGTTTCCTGTGTCTTTAGATGGTCTCTCAGTCAACGTTGGATTATTAAAAAAAATTAACTTCTACATCATATTCTCATTTTTTGACTTTCACCTATGTTACAGCAGACCTACATAAATATTTACAGTATTTAGTAAAACTGTATTTTCTGGTATGCCTGTGAGCCATAAACTTACATACAATACATATTGTGACATAACTGTTCTGCAGACACAATAAATGTAAAATTTAAGTACATGAAACTAAATTGTTTTTTCAGCATCTTTTTAGGTGTGCTTTGCTAATAATTAGCATTTTGGGTAAGACGAAGAAGAGAAAATCCCAACGCCCTACACAAGAACAGAATTGAAATTATCAACAAAAATGAAAATATTAAAGAATGAGAAAGAAAGAAAAGGTTATGGATGGACAGAAGCACCTGCGTGACAGAAGCTTGTGAGGAAAAAGAGGATGAACAGAAGGTCACACCAAATCCAGCTTGAACAAGTGAGTCTTCAGCTGCTTTTTAAAGGAGACCACTGAGTCCACTGATCTCAGGCTCAGGGGGAGAGAGCTCCAGAAACTGGGGGCCACAGCAGCAAATGATCTGTCAACATTGGTCTTTATCCTGGTGCGCTGCACAACCAGTAGGCTTTGGTCACTGGACCTCAGGGACCTGCTGAGGGTGTAGGGACTGACAAGATCACCCAGCAGGTCCCTGTGCCACAAAGACGGCTTGTCAATGGGGGCACTGGGACGCTGCGCTCCCTGTCTTGAAGGGAGAAAAGAAATCTAAAAAGTGGAAAAAAAAACTATAATATATTCATTTATCTCCTATAAATGTGTCAGATTTGCTTAATTGTGAGTGCCTACATGCAAACTGAATTATTTACTCATCATTTTCACCTGCTGTCTCATTAAACCGTGAATGTCCTCAACTCACTAGTTTCACTCTTGGTGTGCTGAGAAAATGCCCCTGAACTGAAGCTAAACAGCCAATCACATTTGGTTGCTAGGGAGAACAGGAAAATTTTGGGCCATTCAGCATCCGTGAATTGAATAACTTTGGGGCACTGGCTGACAGCGCCCCAGCTTACAGAAAACAACAAGCTAACATGCTAGAAGTTACTGGATCTCATTTGGACTCTCTCTGTCACATACACTCACTGTTCGATTAACATAGAGCTGATATGATGTTGTTGCTGTCAATTGTTTTTATTTATTCTCATTTTATGGGATTACAGTGGGGCAAAAAAGTATTTAGTCAGCCACCGATTGTGCAAGTTCTCCCACTTAAAATGATGACAGAGGTCAGTAATTTTTATCATAGGTACACATCAACTGTGAGAGACAGAATGTGAAAAAAAAACATGAATTTACATGGCAGGATTTTTAAAGAATTTATTTGTAAATCAGGGTGGAAAATAAGTATTTGGTCACTTCAAACAAGGAAAATCTCTGGCTCTCACAGACCTGTAACGTCTTCTTTAAGAAGCTTTTCTGTCCTCCACTCGTTACCTGTATTAATGGCACCTGTTTGAAATCATTATCTGTATAAAAGACACCTGTCCACAGCCTCAAACAGTCAGACTCCAAACTCCACTATGGCCAAGACCAAAGAGCTTTCGAAGGACACCAGAAAAAGAATTGTAGACCTGCACCAGACTGGGAAGAGTGAATCTACAATAGGCAAGCAGCTTGGTGTAAAAAAATCAACTGTGGGAGCAATTATCAGAAAATGGAAGACATACAAGACCACTGATAATCTCCCTCGATCTGGGGCTCCATGCAAGATCTCATCCCGTGGGGTCAAAATGATCATGAGAACGGTGAGCAAGAATCCCAGAACCACACGGGGGGACCTGGTGATTAACCTGCAGAGAGCTTGGACCACAGTAACAAAGGTCACCATCAGTAACACACTACAACTGCAGGGAATCAAATCCTGCAGTGCCAGACGTGTTCCGCTGCTGAAGCCAGTGCATGTCCAGGCCCGTCTGAAGTTTGCCAGAGAGCACATGGATGATACAGCAGAGGATTGGGAGAATGTCATGTGGTCAGATGAAACCAAAGTAGAACTTTTTGGTATAAACTCAACTCGTCGTGTTTGGAGGAATAAGAATACTGAGTTGCATCCCAAGAACACCATACCTACTGTGAAGCATGGGGGTGGGAACATCATGCTTTGGGGCTGCTTTTCTGCTAAGGGGACAGGACGACTGATCAGTGTTAAGGACAGAATGAATGAGGCCATGTATCGTGAGATTCTGAGCCAAAACCTCCTTCCATCAGTGAGAGCTTCGAAGATGAAACGTGGCTGGGTCTTCCAACACGACAATGATCCCAAACACACCGCCCGGGCAACAAAGGAGTGGCTCCGTAAGAAGCATTTGAAAGTCCTGGAGTGGCCTAGCCAGTCTCCAGACCTCAACCCCATAGAAAATCTGTGGAGGGAGTTGAAAGTCCGTGTTGCTCGGCGACAGCCCCAAAACATCACTGCTCTCGAGAAGATCTGCATGGAGGAATGGGCCAAAATACCAGCTACTGTGTGTGCAAACCTGGTAAAGACCTATAGTAATCGTTTGACCTCTGTTATTGCCAACAAAGGTTATGTTACAAAGTACTGAGTTGAATTTTTGTTATTGACCAAATACTTATTTTCCACCCTGATTTACAAATAAATTCTTTAAAAATCCTGCCATGTGAATTCATGGATTTTTTTTTTCAAATTCTGTCTCTCACAGCTGAAGTGTACCTGTGATGAAAATTACTGACCTCTGTCATAATTGTAAGTGGAGAACTTGCACAATCGGTGGCTGACTAAATACTTTTTTGCCCCACTGTATATTATTAATGGAACGGAACACTGAAAAGCATTTTTTAAATATTATTTCAAATAGTAATTGGTCACTCTGAGTTTTTCATGCTAGCTGAACATCAAAATAGTCTCCTACACCCACCTAGATTTCTAAAATTGTGTGTTTTTCTGTCAACATGGGGGTGCTGTGTGTACATTAATGAAGGGAAAAATGAATTTAGTTGTGTTTAGCAAATGGCTGCAATAAAACAAAGAGTGAAAAATTGACGGGAGTCTGAATAATGTACAGAATATTAAACCTGGAAAATAACTTCAGGTTTAATATTGATGGCCGAATGAACACTTTTGCTTGTATTTTCCTGGATAATAGGCCCTTAAATGATTTTTTTACACTCATGAAATTTACAAGAATTTATAAAGTTCTCTATAATTTTGCAATTTACCTGATTAACTTTACAATTAAATGTGTAGTTTCTCTTTATATAAAACATCTCTTCACTAACTGATGGAAAAAATAAGGCTACAAAAGACAAAGTGTAAGATTTTACCTAGTTTCATGTTGTGAAAATAATTTTTGACATTTTTTTTATAAAAGTTCATTTGTTGAAAGTCTAAAAGGCAGATTTGTTCTTTGTGTCAGAGTAAGTGATGCCTGCAGACCAGAGCCTGCTACAAGTCCAGTAAATAGACAGCACCGAGGGGTTGGGCTAGTCACAGGGTGACAGTGAAACGTGTCTATAAGTTAAATGTTGTTATAATTACAAAAACAGGTTGTTTTTTTATGTGAAATGAATTTTAAAACTGTCGTTGTCATCAGCTCCACTTAGAATAATTTCTGAGTCAGACAAGTCAGAGGAAGAATCTTCACACATCCAACCTGATTGGGGTTTTAAGCAAACTCAAAAAAAGATTTAGGTCGGTCCCATGCTGACTCAGAATCAGCTCAAGCTTGACGCTTTACTGGTGATGCACCTGCTTCATTAGACGACTCCACCGCATGGAGCTCTGGCCTTCACCGTCGTCCTCTTATCTGTGGACCACAGTGTTCCTCACTCCACATTACTGCTCAGTTTATTATTCATGAGGTGATCCACTTGTTATGCCAGAGAAGAAAATCTACAGAAACCAAGTAAGAAATCCACATATGGGGTCAGCCATCTGCGGTTAGACCTTCTGCTGGAGAAGACCTTAACAAATAACAATCTCTGAGGTTTCCACGTATATGTTGGACGTGACTCTTAGCTTCTAACACACAGTTTAGCTCAATAAAAACGATTAGTCATCGCTACTAGGATGGGATGACTCAGCTTTAGGACACTTAGTCCTAACATCTTTAACGATTACTGGAGTAGTTCTGTTTTTGGGTTAGAAAACTTCTGAAATGATGACGTGGGAGATGCAAATGATACCAAGAATTACTGAGACTGTCATAAAATGTGAGATAGTCTTTTAGCAGACCAACAAGCACGGAGAAACCAAAGCATCGCCACGCTCTTTCTCAGGGGTTAAAAGATTGAAAGCGGATCTCATCCCATTGCTGCTGCCTCCTCCTGCACCTCTGCACCAGAGCTGTGCGGGCTCCCATTAGTCCAGACCGGGCCCCCTTTTGGGATGTGCGTTTGGTGGAGGGTGGCCTGCTGGTAGAAAGCGTACGGTGCTCTCAGTGGCCTATCGTTGTCCTGGCCGAGCACTCTCAAGTCAGGGAAACAGCGCACACACGCACAGGTCTCGATTGGGATGGAGTCATCCGACGGCTCTCGGCAGGCAGGGTAGCTCAAACATGTTGGATCTGGGAACCGGAGAAGTGGAAGAGTGAAAAAAAGAGAGAGAAGCAAACTGCTGACAGGTCTTTGGTTTACTGCACCAACCCTCGGAGCTCCTTCCTGCCCGGCTGGTGGGACATCCAAACTCCTGCTCCGACTGGACTGCACACTTCTGTCCGTGGTCATGGACTCGTGTGGTCCTGGTGGTTTTGGTTTTTCCTCCTCTCAGAAACACAACCAAGGCCAGACAGAGGCTGGAGAACAGCAGCGCCATGCACAGGGCCAGGAGGGGGTAGAACGGGACAGGGATCGGTTCCGAGGGTGTCCTGGTGTTCCCCATCTGTTTGGTAACCCCAGCCAGGAGCCTTTTGGTGGTCACAGGAGGTGGAGCTGGTGGGGAGCGGACAGAATCAGTGACCAGAGAGCCAAATTTAAAGGACTTTAGCATGCTAGCTAAAACAAGCTCAAGGATTACGTTGGAGGTCACATTTTCTCATCACAGAGATTAGCTGGGCTACAGTTTTCAGATTCCCTCCGTTGGCTTTTTCTAGCTAGGAAGCCAGGAGATAATTCAAACCTGAACTCCAGAGCAGAGGGCTACTCACTCGTGCAGTGCTGAGAGCATTGAGCAGGATGTTTGCCACAAACCTCTGCACATCTCACGCATTTCTTCACCAGCCGGTCGAAGTAGTGGCCAGGCTTAGCCATGCAACGTGCAGAGTCTTGATAAAGGAAAGCATGTAGTGTGAGTCGGAGGAAGTGGAGGACAGGAGACGAGCTCTCGGCATAGCATTAGACTCTAATTCCATTTCTACTAAAGCTTTTCCTGCTCTGTGTTTTAAAGAACAGGGGCCTCATTTATCAAGCTTGCTTACGCACAAAATGGGGTCGGAAAACTGCGTAAGCAACTTTCCACACAAACTTTGGGATTTATGAAAGAAAACTTTGGCGGAAAAATGTTCGCAACTTTAAGTTGACTAAGGACCTGGCTTACACACATGTTGGACATGGAGAGCACCTGCAATGCTGCTGCTGAGAAGATACAATTATGAAATCCTGCAGCATTATCACTTGTACTTCTTCCTGTTCACACAGAACAAGACCCCCCACACGCACACACATGCGCGCGTACACACACATGCGAGCGCACGCACACAGCCTGAAGCGCAGAATACAGAATGCATAATATCAGTATGCAGTGTGTGTCCTGTCACTGTGACCCGATTGATCATGTGTCCTGGCTACTAGTACAGGGGAGATCTCTGTTTGGCTGACTGGTTAGCGTGTGTGACTTTCAACCGGGAGTCTGGGGATCAAATCCTGATTGGACCATTTTTTTATATCCGCCACAGATCTCTCTGAAGAACTCAGCATTGACGGCTTCAGCAACGCTGTGCCACTCCGTGAATTTTCTCTTATTTGTTTAACAAAAGCACTTCCTTTCATTTCTCCACCTCACCCACAGGTATCTCAGTTTCTGCTTCTGTGAAATAGCGCTTCCGTGGTGATCGAAATGCTGCAACAGCCGGCTTATGTATATGTATGAGATCCACAAGGCACTTTGCATTGACCATTTATGGCAGTAAGTGGGCGTGGTGAGGGTGGGATGTGACTCAGAAGCAGCTGAGAACCTTTCTAGATAGTCTCCGATTGATGAAGCAGAGATTGTGTGCAGTTGTGTGTACTCCATGTTTGATAGATCACAAACCTGCTTGGCGTAAGTACATTTTTTTTGCTGAGCTTAAGTACGGTTTTAGTAAGGATTCTACGCCATGTTTGATAAATGAGACCCCTGTGCATTTTAATTTTCGCTATTTATATGTAAACGAAGCATAAAAAACCAGCACTCACCACAGTAGCTGACACATTTGGGGAACACTTGCTGCTCCTGACAGACCTTCCAGCATGGTACACACAGTTTGATCAAGGCATCAAGGTAACTACCACCTCTGCATCTGTCTTCCATTGACTTGACTTTGAGCACACACACACACACACACACACACACACACACACACACACACACACACACACACACACACACACACACAGTGAAGGAAACCGTTTCAGACTTCTGAAGAAGCATGTTTTTATTTATTGATGGACTTGAGTCAAACTGTGCTCTACTGTAATGTGCAGATTACAAACTCAGACACAGAACATTTAAATACACGATAGCATCCAAAATTACAGTAAACTCAAAAGGTGTCTGAGACCAACCCCAGACCCAGTAGCTATCACTTTGAGCAGCGATGGCCTACAGAAACTAGATTTTGCATTACTTCACCAGGAATCTGTCCAAAATACTCCATCAGTTGAGTCCTTGTTGTGTATGATGACTGGAACGAATCCCCATGGATGGGTTGAAGTCTGGACTTTGGCTGGATTGTTGCAGAACCTCGATTTTTTTTCTGGTCCACTCCTTGTGTTTTAGATCTGCTGCTGCATCAGGGTTCTGTTTGGTCCCATGTTTGTGACCCATGGTGCCCAAACCACTAGCCCTCCACTGCCGTGCTGACAGCTGATTGGCTGTATTGTTAGTTTGTTTTCTTTTAGAATAAAGAAGATTTGTTCTAGAAATTCCCCCAAACACCTCAAACATCTTTCCTGCTTGGCATCAGGTTAACTATGCAGAGTAGCCTTCAGCTTTTACACAGCTGTAATTAAACATGCAGTGTTATTTCATTTGTAGCAGTGACATCATCTTACTACAAAGCGAGTTTCATAAATTAGGCACTGATAAATTAGCAACAGAAGTTTAAGATATAACTTTTGGGATTGCTTTGCTCAGATAATTTAGCTATGAAGTTAAGACAAAAATAGTTATTTTCAGCTGTTACAGAGAAAAAGTTTTGAGGCTGAAAGTCTGGTTAGGGACTAGATGTTCATTTATTCATCTCTTACACAATCCTTTAGTTTCTATGCTCCTAGTGCACGAAAATGCCTAAAATGCACAAAATTTCCTATAGAAATATTACATAATATTTCAAAGTCCCAATTGTTTCACACGAGTTTCATCCTTAGCTATATATAATTTTTTTTAATGCAGCATTATTGCATTGCTAAACACGGAGAAAATACGCAATCTACTGGAAAACAATAGAAACTTAAACTTGAGCCTGAAATAGGAACCCAAACAAAATAAATAAATAATTCTAAACATAATAATAATAATAATAATAATAATAATAATAATAATAATAATAATAACAATAATAATAATAATAATAATAATAATAATAATAATAATAATAACAGCAATAATAATAATAATAATTATTATTATTATTACTATTATTATTATGATTATTTTTATTATTACTATTATTATTATTATATTATCATTATTATTATTACTATTGTTATTATTATTTTATTATTATTGTTATTATTATTATTATTACTATTATTATTGTTGTTATTATTATTTTTTTTTTTTATTATTATTGTTATTATTATTATTATTATTATTATTATTATTATATTGACACATTCAGTGTTAATGCAAAAATAAGTTTGTTTCTAAATTGCATACATGCTAATAAAGAAAATGTGCAATTTTGTGTAAATTTTTCTAAAATATTAAGTTTGACCTGCGACTTCTTCCCCGATTTTCATTTTGGCCCAGTGTGAGTTTGGGTTCGACACCCCTGATATAAGTTATTTATTGTTGTGGTGGTGGTGGTGGTGTGTGTGTGTGTGTGTGTGTGTGTGTGTGTGTGTGTGTGTGTGTGTGTGTGTGTGTGTGTGTGTGTGTGTGTGTGTGTGTGTGTGTGTGTGTGTGTGTGTGTGTGTGTGTGTGTGTGTGAGGGGGGCGTCCTATTTACATTTAGCACTTCACTGGTCTCCAGAGGGTTTAAGGGCATGCATTATGACCCATTCAGCTGTTCACACAAAAGTTATGAAAATGTTGGTTTTATACATAAATTGTGACTCGTATGGCTTAAACCACCAACTAGTTCCTGATGGCAGACACAGCTGCAGCTCCCCACTGGGACAGGTCAAATGTGGACATGTATTTCACCAGTGTGTGATGATGACTAAGACTCCAACTCTTGGTCTTTAGCAGCCTGGCAAGCCAGACTAAATAAATGTATGATTTAGTCTGGCAACGCTCCATTGACAGCTCTCGGTTGTGGGGCGGGTTCTACCGTTGTCTTTCAAATGATCTCCGCATTCCACTGGACAAAGAATGTGACATACTCTTGTTTCACTCTGTTGCATCATCCCACCCACCAGGCATATAGAGTGCCCTGATTGGCCCACAAAGCGGATAAAGCTCTGTGATTTGTTCACTAAGCAGATAGAGCACTATGATTGGCCCACCATTACGGACTAATCACAGCTCTTTATGTGTTTGAAACCCCTCTGGAGAGCTGTGACTGGCCAGCCAGAATGCTGTGGGGGCTGCAGAGGTTCCAGTGGAGCGTTCCTAGACCAAACTTTTCAAAGCAAGAATTTGGTCTAGTTCACTAGGCTAGGTCTTTAGCGCACAGGATTCAGATCTCTGTGATCATCCCAACTGATCATTCATGCTTTGGGTGATTCTCTTTTCATGTTCCCTTGGTTTGGTAAATGGCCTGTTTGCAGGTATTCTTTGTGTGGTTGCTAGCACGATTCCCCAGCATGTGCTCTGATAAGAGTTTTATGGCTGGGCATACAAACCCTATCTTTCTAAATCATACATCAGGTGTCTGAGTCGTGATGCTGTGTGATCAGAATAAACAGCAGAGGTAGTTTAATAGTGTATGATTCAGATCATCTTAGTAAAAAACAGAACCCAAGCATGCACCCCCCCCCCCCCCACCCCCCCTGCACCATTCCACTTTTTGTTCTGAAACGGTCGTTTCCTCTGCTCTGCTGAGCAGACAATCAGCAGAGTGTGAAACACTTGCAGAACTCACTCTCCTCCACCTTCTGCTGTGTTAGCACTCAGAACTGATGAGTTAGGTCTTTGGTTTAACAGTCACAGTCCACTCACCAGCACAACCAGCAGCTAAAGACCAGTTTAACGAGTTCAGGGTGTCATTTTTCTAAAACATCGCTCTCCTCACTGATAGCATTCACACAGAGGACACAGAGTGGTGTGTCTTTAGGAAGACAGCAGTTTCAGTTACTGAGGTTCACACATCTGAAGCCCTTTAGTTTACCCTTACCCAGTAAGTCACGAAGGATTCATTGAAACAAACGCTGAGATGGCTTACCTTCTGAGATGACCAAGCAGTGGCCCTCAGCTTGACGAAGTGTGAGAAACAGTCCTGTTTTTCTGCTAATTTGGATACGAACTTGTAGTCTGCGTTAGGACTTCCCCCAGAGGAACCCCCACCCAGCACACACACATGCTAGAGGGCCGGTATGGTGTCTCTGAACGTCTCTCGTACAAATGAACCCAAAGAGCAGATTTCAGCTCAAACCCGAGTCGTTTGTTATGGACTTTGACATTTATGTTAAAACTGTAACAGCTACACTTTCACCTAACCAAACAAATGCTGTTTTTTTAGGGGTGAGGCTCACAAAATGATAAACTAAAAATAATTACAGCTTTATTTGATTATTGCCACCTCCATTTACAGCTCACCCCCTCCCACCATGTTTTCTACAAAACAAACATAACACAGACCCCCCCCCCCCCCCCCCATCCCAAAATAAATATATAAATAAAATGTCCACATCTTTCCCAGGATGGTTCCCATCAGTGGGAATGCCAAGAATGCATACATTCAAAAAGAAAATGTGACGTCTTGAAAGAAAAAGTGGCTTTGTGGCTCGGCTCGCTCCAGTTCAGGGGTAAGTTGAGCCACCTGGTGGAAACTGACCAACAAACTTTTCCAGTTTGCTTTCTCCAGCTGACTTTTATTTTGAATGATCCTAAAGGAAACTTTAAACTGCATATAAAAAGTCAAATGCAATTTAAATTTATTAACGTTTATTAACGTTTATTAACGTTTATTAACGTTTACACAAATATTAACTATCAAGTGTCCTTAAGGTTAGGACAAAGGGCCAGGGGGATGTCTGCTTAGTAATATATTACTTAATATTAACATTAATATTACGCAGTTGTTAATACTTTGATTAATAGGTTATAATTCTTAATAATGTAACATTAACAAAGGGACCCATAGTGTAAGGTGCTACCAAAACCTTTAACATCAACAGAGCAGAGCGACTGTTACAAACTCACAGAAATTATAGTGTGGTTTTTATGCCGGTGAAGGTTCTCAGTCATCCAGGTCATGGTAATCCAAAATGGCTCAGATGAAGGCAACTGGACTTCTTTGGTTCTCCTTAACTATCTTCTCCACATTCCACCCCTCAAGGTTGCAAGGGAATGTGAATTGCTGCTCTCTCCTTGCAGTTCTTCCAGCCTTTTGAGATTAAGGCAGCTTCTTTATTACTTCACTTTGAAGGAAAAGTGCCGCATCTTCCTCCTTGGAAAGAAAAGTTGGTTTCCCTTTAGCTGTGCTCCCTCAGATGCTTCAGTTTCATCTTCGTCCTCGAGATTCTCATCCAAGCCAAGTTGTGCCGGTGGTTCAACTCGCCCCAGGGCATCTGGCTCTCCTTACCCCACGGCTACCACTTTGGAAAAGGTTACTATAGCATAGCAACTCAAGCTACCCTTTAGCTACATGGTAGAAGGATCTTTTGAGGCAACAGCGTTTATGTTTCTAGCATTGCATCATGGGATTATGTGGCAAGAAACAGTGAATTTTGGCTATAATTAGATTGTTTTTCATGTTTGGAGGAGGATTTAGCAAAGCAGGTGGATCATTCTTGCTGTGTGGTGGATAGTTCGACTCGTGGGAGTCTTGATAAAAAGTTTTAGTGGGATTTCCTCCGTAAACGACCACAAAATATGTTTGTGGTACGACAATTTGTGAGGCCCATTTTGTTCAAGGTAAGTCCTTGTGATTAAGTATTTGTTAATCAGAGACGATGTTTTAAAAAACATTTATCTTCCTCCATTTTCTTCCACTTATTCCGGAGTCGGGTCGAGGGGGCAGCAGCCTAAGCTGAGAGGCCCAGCCTTCCCTCTCCACAGCCACTTGGGCCAGCTCTTCCGGGGAATCCCAAGGCGTTCCCTGGCCAGGCGAGAGACAAAGTCCCTCCAGCGTGTCCTGGGTCTCCCTTTAGGTCTCCTCCCGGTTGGACATGCCCAGAAAACCACACCAGGGAGGCGTCCAGGAGGCATCCTAACCAGATGCCCGAGCCACCTCAACTGGCTCCTCTCGACATGGAGGAGCAGCGGGTCTACTCCAAGCACCTCCCGAATGACTGAGCTTCCCACCCTATCTCTAAGGGAAAGCCCAGCCACCACTGCGGAGAAAACTATTTTTGGCCGCTTGTATCTGTGATCTCGTTCTTTCGGTCACTACCCAAAGTTCGTGACCATAGGTGATGGTGGGAGCGTAGATTGACCGGTAAAATCGAGAGCTATGCCTTCTGGCTCAGCTCTCTCTGCACCACGACAGACCGGTTCAACGCCCGCATCACTGCAGACGCAGCACCAATCCGCCTATCGATCTCGCACAAACACAGGTTTTTGAGAATAAAGCATACTTACCACAAGCTTCTTTCAATCACAGGAAAATCACAATGGAGGGTGCTTGCAAAATGTATGGTCACATTAAAACAAATCTGTACTACTGCCTAGATACAAGGAGCGGGTCAACTTACCCCAGTCTCCCTTACTGGTGGATGAGTCTTTTAGCCAGTAAAGAGCAAAAGGTGATCATTTTCAACTGGCATGCATCCAAAGAAGGATCCATTGCGACCACTCCAAAGTGTTCAAATGTGTTTTGTAGTGGAGCACATCACTTCCTGTCCCCCCCATTTGAGTTTTGCGCGACTGCAGAATGAAACCCAGCAATCGGGAAATATCTTGTTTAAGACCAGTACTAAAGGATTATAATTAGTTCCAAAAAAGTCTTTAAATTTACGTGTACACCATACACCAGGATGTTTAAACTTGTCTTGGCTTAACTATTGTTAACATATAAGAATTAAAGGTAGATTATTTCCAGAGTTCAGTTGGAGAAGCTGAATCAATCTGTATTTGCCATCTTACCCCAGGGATACAGGTGTGTTTTTACTGATTAAATCATAACAAAACAAGGTCTTCTATTATTACAGTACAAGGTGCAGTCTTTCTGCTATTTCTGCAGCAGTGCCAACAACAGAACTCGTAGAATTGAATGTGTTCCTTCACAATAAGAGTCTCAAGCATTCACATGTACCTCAAAACATCTGAAGCTTATGATTTGTGTGAGCCGTAAGTGCAGAGAGATAAAAATACCCTTATTTGGTTTTCTTCACACCTTTGACCAAACAAGCACTTTCAGAAACCTGAGTTCAACCAGGAGAGTTTCACTGCAGATGGGTAGTCAAATTCTGGAAAGGAAAAGGAAACAACACACAAGTGGACGGAGTGAAACCATCTCAGCCAGCTTGATTTTTGTGACAAGATATGAAATATATATATATATATATATATATATATATATATATATGTGTGTGTGTGTGTGTAAATACTAATTATTATTATAATATATATTTTTTTCACCTTTATATTCAACATGTTTTTTTTTGTCAGCAGAGGCCCAAATAGGCTGTAGGACCTCGTACTTAGCAGGATTGCAAATTCCTGTTACTGTCTGACTTAATACATTGAATGTCTGCACATGCCCAATGGCACACTGAAGGAACCCAGCAGAAATACATCATCAGCAAAACGCTGAGATGAGACCCAGAAGTTCCGAAACCAAAGGTTCCTTTATCAGGTCTGAAGACGAGTTCCAACACAAAATTACGCTCAGAATAAAAAAGGTTCTTCATCTGAAGGTCAGATCTTGCATCAACAACCAACAGATTATTCACAGCAGGAGCCAGACACATAAATAAACATGTTATGTAAAAAGGAGGAATGAGAAAAACGCACTTGTCTTTGAAGAAATGTAAGCCATGAATGGTGATGAAAAACTGGAAAAGGTTCAATAAAAGTTCACCAGAAACAAACAGACACTGTATGAATCAGTTTTTCATCTTGTCTCATTTTAATGAAGTTTTTGATTTTATTTGTTTATTTTCCCACCTGACTCTGAGTTGATTTTCTCCAAAAGTGTTCATTCATTCATTCATTCATTCATTCATTCATTCATGCAAACATACACACATACAGGGGGTACGGAAAGTATTCAGACCCACATCAGTTTTTCACTATTTGTTATATTGCAGCCATTTGCTAAAATCAATTAAACAATGTTTTTCCTCATTAATGCACACATAGCACTCCATACTGACAGAAAAACACAGAATTTATAGAAATTTAGGCAGTTATTAAAAAGACAAACTGAAACATCACATGGTCCTAAGTATCCAGACCCATTGCTGTGGCACTCATATATTTAACTCTTTCCATTTCTTCTGATCATCCTTGAGATGGTCCTACACCTTCACTGGAGTCCAGCTGTGTTTGATTCTACTGATTGCACTTGATTAGGAAAGCAACACACCTGTCTATAAAACACCTTACAGAGTTTGCTAAAAGACACCTGAAGGACCCCGAGATGGTGAGAAATAATACTCTCTGGTCTGATGAGACTAAGATGTCTGAGTCTGAGTCAGCAATTAATTTCCCAGATATGAGCTACTGATGTGAGATGCTCCTGAGAACTGAGCTAACCAAAGCTAACAGATGTTTTTGGGTGCTGAGTAACATAATTGAAGAACACATCAACTCAAAGAGTTGGAGTGTTTCTATGGTCTTCCTGAGAACACTGCAGGCAGCCAGAATGACTGCACCCTTGCATTGGAACCAGGGGATAGCATCACTCGCTGCCCTGGGTGACTGGAGAAGCTGGCCGGCTGCATTGTGTGGATGATCCCGGCCGGGAGACGGTCTCCGGGAGGCTGGCGTGGCAGATTCACAGATCTGTGTGTGTGTGTGTGTGTGTGTGTGTGTGTTCATTTTTGCAGTTTGTATAATTGTATTTTACAGGGAAGCCAAAATTCTCCCATTCACACGACTTAAATGATCCAGGGGGTATTTCAAGCACCTCTACTCCTGTGCCATGACCACTGCTGTGCTTTACTCTTTTGGATTGAACAGGAGGTGCTTCAGCCTTTCACGTGACCAATTTGCAGACCATGCGCGTGCCGTACCATAGAGAGGGAACAATGTGGCTCAAGGCTCAATGATGACCCGTTGCACCCCTAAGGGCCACTGCTGCTGAAGGGAGACACGGAACCAAAACTCGGTCTTCCTCCATTCTACATCAGCAACTTCATGGATCTCTGGCCATGGTGGACCAGCTTTGGTTAGCTTGATTAGCTAAAGGTTTCACTACCCTTCAAGCCCCACCAACACCTCATATCTCAACCCAGTTTTGACCAAGAAATGTTATGTTGAGTGGACAGCATTTTACCACGTTCAACC